CTTCATTCTGTGTGCTGTGACCTTAAAAATTAACCTAGATAGCTAGTTTTAGAAAGGAAATCAGAAAGGACCCTTTTACACAGCAAGAGACTAGCTTTCAAACAGATAAATAGGACAAGTTTTACCCTTTGAAGAGACCACTATCCTTGACACACAGCTCATGTCCAAACAATTGTTTATTTTCTTTCCCATCAAATGGGTGCTCCTGGAAATCTCAGTATTCCAGACAGGATTGCAAGGCCAGTTAACCCAGTTCCCTGTGATGTACAAGGTGCCTCTGGCACACTAGGCCATGCCAGCCAAATGGATTTTGTTTACTTACATGAAGTGCAAGTGGTTTCAAGTGATTCTTGTAACCTTTCTGTCATTTTATGCTGCGTTTTTAATGCTTGCGGCAGCCATCGTAACAACTCATTCAAGCAAGGTCAGTCTTAATTGTGTATTTTCACTTAGGGAAATGAGGCAGAGAGACATACAGTGCAATCCAGGGCATTATCTGCTTGGAGAAATGCCTCACAAAATTCATTGGGACTTACTTTTGAGGAAGCATGGGCAGGATTGCACTGACAGGCTTGCTTTTGAACTCCGGGTGTTTTTACACTGCCCTCAAGCCACCCAGACTGCCTTTTGTTCTTACCAATAAAAAGGAAGTAGCCTTTCTTGGAAATCAGAAAGGACACTTTTACACAGCACAACTCTTGCACTTCTATTCCAATTTAACTGACATGACTTTATTTATTTATCGTGCTGATGACACGATAAATAAATAAACTTATTTATCGTGTCAGAAGCAAACCAAACAGTTGTATTGCATTTTTTAAACAAACAAACAAACACAAAGTTTGCAAGCTTGGTAGTTGATTAAATGTCCTTTGACCAGTAGCTGGCCACTTGGAGTGCCTCTGGTGTTACTATAAGAAGGTCCTCCATTGTGTATGTGGCAGGGCTCAGGTTGCATTGCAGCAGGTGGTTTGTAGTTTGCTCTTCTCCACACTCACATGGCGTTGATTCCACTTTGTAGCCCCATTTCTTAAGGTTAGCTCTGCATCTCATGGTGCCAGAAGCGACCAGAAGTGATTGACATGGCTGTATCCTGTTCCTGTGGAATTCTGAGATTCATAGTTTATTGAAACCTTAATGGGTTTAAACCCTTCTATCTTTTCCTGACATGCCCCACAAAAGGTTTATTTTTTAGGGGAAAAGGACATTGACTTATGGCCACTTCTGGTTGGGAGTATTATCTTGGGAGGTGGGGGAGTTTCTGTATCTGTGATAGGACCTGAAGTCCAGGTCCTGAAGCAAGAAATCCCATTACAACAGATTACTGGCTGTGGAGCCCCTGAGAAGGGAAGAACTCCTTATATATCTGTTCCTCTTAGAATTCAAGAATGTGTTTGTTTATCTTGTTGGTTAGATTCTCTAATCTGCATCTATTCCCCCTCAGAAAGCAAGTTCTATATGTGGCTTATGGTTTGATGACTGCTGGATACCACACTGCCATTTACAAAGATTTTGCTTTGTTTTGCTCATAAGCCTCTGTTTTAACCACAACATCTGAGTCATCATTTTTAGTTCTCTGCTTAGTTATATAGTACTTATAATGTTGCCTAGCCAGACATCACTGTTCTTGATTTTGATTATATTCTTAGTTGTAGCCACTCCCATTACACACCTACAATTACTCCATAGATAGCAGAGCCCCAGGTGGCACAATGGGATAAACCCTTGTGCCAGCAGGACTGCTGACCAAAAGGTTGGCCATTCGAATCTGGGGAGAGGGGTCAGCTCCTGTCTGTCAGCTCCATTTTCCCATGAGGGAAGCCTCCCACAGAGTGGTAACATCCAGGCGACCCCTGGGCAGTGTCCTTGCAGACGGCCAATTCTGTCACACCAAAAGTGACTTGCTTTTTCTCAATTGCTCCTGGCATGCTAAAAAAACCCCACAGATAGCTTAATATATTGTCAAAGACTTTCATGGCCGGAATCACAGTCCTGCTGGCACAAGGTTTTTTCGGGCTATATGGCCATGCTCTAGAGGCATTCTCTCCTGATGTTTCGCCTGCATCTATGGCAAGCATCCTCAGAGGTTGTGAGGTCTGTTGGAACTAGGAAAATTGGGTTTATATATCTGTGGAATGACTAGGGTGGGACAAAGAACTCTTGTCTGTTGGAGCTAAGTGTGAATGTTTCAACTGACCACCTTGATTAGCATTTGATGGCCTGGCAGTTTTTTGGTGTGGCTTGTTGCCTGGGGGAATCTTTTGTTGAGAGGTGATTAGATGTCCTTGTTTGTTTCCTCTCTGTTGTTGTGCTGTTGTAATTTTAGAGTTTTTTTAATACTGGTAGCCAGATTTTGTTCATTTTCATGGTTTCCTCCTTTCTGTTGAAATTGTCCACATGTTTGTGGATTTCAATGACTTCTCTGTGTAGTATGACATGGTGGTTGTTAGAGTGGTCCAGCATTTCTGTGTTCTCAAATAATATGCTGTGTCCAGGTTGGTTCATTATGTGCTCTGCTATGGCTGACTTCTCTGGTTGAAGTAGTCTTCAGTGCCTTTCATGTTGCTTGTTTTGTGTTTGGGCAATGCTGCGTTTGGTGGTCCCTATGTAGACTTGTCCAGAACTGCGTGGTATACGATAGACTCCTGCAGAAGTGAGAGGATCCTTCTTGTCCTTTGCTGAATGTAGCATTTGTTGGATTTTCTTGGTGGGTCTGCAGATAGTGGGTCTGTAGATAGCATATTATGTGAGAACACAGAAATGCTGGACCACTCAAACAACCACCATGTCAGACTACACAGAGAAGCCATTAAAACCCATAAGCATGTGGACAATTTCAACAGAAAGGAGGAAACCATGAAAATGAAGTTCTGGGGAAGTTCTGTCTGGTACTTTGACCATTGGTCTGTGGAAACAAAGTTCTACAATTGATAGTTCATTTCCCCAGTTAAAAGTTGTGTGTTCACTGCACCTGCTCCTGAAGCTGTTTTATCAGGCCATGGAGACCTATGACTGAATGACACCCATTTGGGTATTATAACATGCTGTATGCGGGTCTGACTGTGAAATTTCGGATGGTTTGAAGAGTTGTAGCCAAATTGCAGGAAAAGTGACAGGGAGCACACACTCCTTCGGTACGGCACCACCATTGATGACTAGTGTGTTTCTGAGTGTAGTCTGTGACCTACAATTCCCTATACTGCTCAGACCAAGGCTGTCTGATAGACTGAATTCTCCTTGGCTTTGAGATTTTCAGTAGAGGCCCTTCCCTTGGTTCTGATATTCCTACAGACATATCTGGTGGAAATTCAGGACAGAGCCTCATTGGAAACAATAATAACAGTGAATTTATGAGCCGCTTTTCCCTGCATCTTGAGGCAGGATACAACACTATTAAAAATACAACAAGATACAAGTTAAATTCACAAGTGGAATGACTTTAGTATTGATGTAATATGTTCACTCCTGGATGTAATGAAAGGACTTGTAGTACTATGCTGTATTGTTTTCATTTCTTGCCTTTTTTAATGGATATGCTTTAAATCAGACACGGGCAAACTTTGGCCCTCCAGGTGTTTTGGACTCCAACTCCCACAATTCCTAACAGCCTACCGGCTGTTAGGAATTGTGGGAGTTGAAGTCCAAAACACCTGGAGGGCCAAAGTTTGCCCGTGTCTGATTTAAATTGTTTTTCATTTTACAGTTAGTTTAATTATATCTTCTCTATAACATTTTCTAGTTTTTAACCTCTTTCTCTGTGTTTATTTCTGTCTGCTTTCATTTTTATATACCGCCTTGGTTTCCAGATGTTGAGGAAAGGTGAGATGAGTATGTATGTGTAAATAAATAAATGCATGTTCTCAATTTTGTAAACTCACAGGAGAAACATTGCCATCTATGTCACTGTGTGTATTTTATCCCTCTTTTTTTCCTGGTGCTTTCTTGTTGGCTGGTACCACTGGCTTTCACTCTTACCACAACTTCACAAATGAGAGTGTTATTTTGTTCTACTCTGGGAGAAAGGGAATGGAAGAAGGATGCTCAAATTTTGGAAGGCAGCAGCCAGATAGTTATGGGGGAAAATAATTTTCTGCACTATTTTGGATTTCCACTTTCCTTTAAAAATATTTTAAGGCTATTTTATCCTACACATATCACAAGATGACATAACTCATTAGAAAAAAAATTAAAGTGGAAGGCAGTAGGATACAAGGGAGACTGGATGAATTGACGTATTAAAGGAATAGGCCCATTAGTAATAGACATCTTGGAGGTTCCTTGTTCTTAGGATCATCACAAATCATAAGAGCTGACAATTAAAACACACACTTGCAAATAGTGCTGTGATCCTACTTTAGCTACCATGGCTCAGTTTTATCAGATTCTGAGATTTGCAGTTTAGGGAAAGGCAATTACACTTCTTGTTTAGAGATCTTCGGTGCATCATGAAACCATAAACCACAGGATTCCATTGGATGCAACCATGATGTTTAAAGTACAATCATGGTGTTGAGTGAAAAAAAAAATCCTTTGTGTTCTGTGGAGCATCAAAAAAGGGACCTCCATCCCCCAAAACCACAAAATTAAAATAATTACAATAACTGAAGGTGCCATGGGCCCAGAGTGATATGGTAGGGTTGGCTGCTGGTTTCCATGTTGGTGGAGCAATAGGTTTGCTTTGCATTTTAGTCCAAATTATAAAGGGGATTTTCAAGCCGCCGCTGCTATTTATGTTGATCATAGCAACAACAATAGAAGCAAAACTTACCTTTCATAATGAATCAAAACAGAACAAAATTTTGTCAGCTTAAAGTTCAATTAAAATTTCCCACGATTTCTCCAGATGTGTTGCTTTGTTGTGTTTTAATTGTTGTACTATGTATGTAATGGTATTGTGTTGTATCTGGGTGTTTTAAGTGTATGGTACCCCACCTCGAGCCATTCCAAGAGGCGGGTAACTATTATTATTATTATTATTATTATTAATTGGTTTTTTTCAGGGTTGGAAATGGCACAGTCCATCTTGCTATTGGCTAGGAGTTGACCACGAGGTGTACAGTGAAGCTCGAAAGATGTGCACAGATTATGGGTCTACCCTCGTTACTATCACCAACAGGTGGGTGTCAGTTACACAGATTAATTTTGTAACATTGATTTGACCAATATATCCCATTGCAGATGTGGGGAGAGGGAAAAGGTGAGTGAGGTCCTTGATCTTTTGGATTGTCTTTGGAAGGATCAGAAGCTACCTGGAAGCCAGGTATTGTAAATCGGCAGACAGACATATTGAACGTCAAGCTCTTATGGAAAAAACAAGTGGTGAAGCAGTGACTGACACATTCCTTTGTCTCCCTTGACAAGGTTTGAACAGGCCTATGTGAGCAGCCTAATTTATGGCTGGGAAGACGAATATTTTTGGACAGCTCTACAAGACATAAACGAAACAGGCTCCTTCCATTGGTTGAGCGGGGATGAAGTCACATACACCCACTGGAATAGAAACCAACCTGGTAAAAAATATGTTTGTACAGTTTGTTCAGTATTTTCCAATTAAGTTGTCTTGCTGATTACATTCCTAGTGGACCATTATAACAAGTATCTATTGGTTCTACCACGAAGCTTCAAAACAGTCTTTCAGATATTCCTCTTTCAAAGAAGTAAATTGTCATTGAAGTATTCAGATTATTAATATTTCTATATTATTAATATTTCTAATATTATTAATAATATTTTATTAATATTATTAAGGTTATTAATATTTCTAATATTAATATTTCTATATTATTAATATTTCTATACTTTGGCCACATCATGAGGAGACAGCAAAGCCTAGAGAAGACAATTATGCTGGGGAAAGTGGAAGGTAAAAGGAAGAGGGGCCGACCAAGGGCAAGATGGATGGATGGCATCCTTGAAGTGACTGGACTGACCTTGAAGGAGCTGGGGGTGGTGACGGCCGACAGGGAGCTCTGGCGTGGGCTGGTCCATGAGGTCACGAAGAGTCAGAGACGACTGAATGAATGAACAACAGCAACAATATTTTGGTCTGGGTGTCAGTGTGGTATCATGGTTAGAGCATTTAACTATGACTCTGGAGACCCAGATTTGAATTCCTTCTCAGCCATAGAAAGACATGGGTGACCTTGGGCAAATAACACTCTCTTTGCCCCAGAGAAAGACAAAGGACACCCCAAGCAAATCTCATCAAGAAAATAATAATAATAATAATAATAATAATAATAATAATAATAATAATCAACTTTATTTATACCCCGCCACCATCTCCCCAATGGGGATTCGGAGCAGCTTACATGAGGTCAAGCCCAAACAACAAATTACAATAGAGTAAAACCGAAAACGCAAACCGAAAACGCGAACAGTAAACCACAACATCATAGTTATATAAAACATGTGAATACATAACAATATAAAATTACAATAAGCACAATCACAGTGACAATGGGCGGGCTTCATGTAATGATGAAAAGAAAAACTAATTAAAAACTAATTAAAAATTCGGGCGAGATAAAAGAGAAACAGGTTATTTGCGGAGGAGGGCTCATTATAGCGGGGGTTGTGGAATCAAGCTTTCCCACGAAGGGGGAGGGGACGACGATGAACGTATACTCCAATGACAAAACGTTGAGGCTAAGCAGTAGTGTGAGGTTGGATATCTACTCACCAAAGGTACAGCGGAAGAGCCAGGTTTTAAGGTTCTTTTTTAAGGTTTCTAGGGTAGGGGCTTTCCTAATTTCTCCAGGTAATGAGTTCCAGAGTCGGGGGGGGGGGGGCACGGAAAAAGCTCTCTCCCTTGTACTTACCAGGCGAGCTTGTGAAACTTACCAGGCGAGCTTGTGAAAACCCCATAATAGAGTCTCCTTGAGGGCACTATGGATCGGAAACTATTTAAATTGTTGTTGAAGGCTTTCGTGACCAAAATCATTGGGTTCTGTGAGTTTTCTGGACTATATGGCCATGTTCCAGAAGCATTCTCTCCTGATGTTTCGCCCACATCTATGGCAGGCATCCTCAAAGGTTGAGGGGTTTGTTGGAAACTAGGTAAGTGAGGTTTATATAACGTGGAATCATCTCCAAGGTGGGAGAAAGAACTCTTGTCTGCTTGAGGCAAGTGTGAATGTTGCAATTGGCCACCTTGATTAGCATTTAATGCCTTGCAGCTTGAAAGCCTGGCTGGTTGCTGCCTTTTGTTAGAAGGGGTTAGCTGGCCCTAAAGGCACTCAACAACAACATTTCAGTCTGTAGCTTCCTTTCCATTTATTTTGTTACTCATATCAATTGATCCTTTCTTCTCTTCTGTTAAACAGATGTGTTCGTTTCAATGTCAGTGGTTTGCCTGGTTTGATTTTTTAGTAATTTCACTTAAGTATCATTAAGTTTGGCTCAACACTCAGCTACACACACATACAAAGCCAGTGGCCATATTAATTGTGACAATTCCAAAGTAATGTTTCCAAAGCTCTGTGTTTATATGCATGTTTTTGTGTGTACATTTGTGTATTGGGAAGGAACTAATTTTGTTCCTCGTCTAGTGGGCGTCATACTTGCTTCCTCAGTGATGGGCCATGATGTCATGCCATTTTTAGTTATGGGATTCAGACTAAGAGCGTTTGTTTGTTTGTTTGTTTTTGAGGGCAGTTGTGAGAAGTCGTAGGAACCAAATGGCTGTGCTATTCTGATGGTTTGAGGTATCTTCTAGAATAGTTTCTAAATCTTTCTTAGGACTAGGGGTCTCTCGGGGACATTACTGGACCGCACTTTCTCCCACTTAGATGTACACTGTAGTTTTATGTTCTTTCAAGTCCCCTGTTGATGTATGGTGACTTTATGGAATTTCACTGGGTTTTCTTGGAAAAAGACTATTAAGAAGTGGTTTTGCCAGTTCCCTCATCTGAAATATGTTGAGCCCTCGGTGGCACAGTGGGTTAAATCCTTGTGCCAGCAGGACTGAAGACCAACAGGTTGCAGGTTTGAATCCGGGGAGAGCGTGGATGAGCTCCCTCTATCAGCTCCAGCTCCTCATGTGGGGACACGAGAGAAGCCTCCCACAAGGATAAAACATCAAAACATCCGGCCGTCCCCTGGGCAACATCCTTGCAGACAGCCAATTCTCTCACACCAGAAGCGACTTGCAGTTTCTCGTCGCTCCTGACACAACCAAAAAATAAATAAATCTGAAATATAGCCTATACCACCTAGTATTTATTTATTTATTTATTTTCTTTATTTATATACCACTTTTCTCAGCCCTCAGGCGACTCAAAGCGGTGAACAACATCAATACAAAACATCACGAGACAAGTGTAGGGCAATTAAAAACAATTGTTACATGAATCATTAAACATCTGTATAACAATAATTAGCGCCTCAACAGTAAAATCAGAATCCAGTCTCATCATCCATTATTCCGTATTCCTATGTTCAATTACACTGTTTAATCAAATGCTTGTTCGAACAGCCAGGTCTTCACTTTCCTCCGAAACGCCAGCAGGGAGGGGGCCGATCTGATATCTGCAGGCAGGGCATTCCACAGCCGAGGGGCCACCTCTGAGAAGGCCCTGTCTCTCGTCCCCGCCAAGCGCGCCTGTGATGCAGGCGGGACAGAGAGTAGGGCCTCCCCAGATTATCTTAGTGTCCTAACCGGTTCATAGGAGGAGATGCGTAGTATTCATTGGCCATCTCCCATCTAAGTATATTCTTAAAAAATCTGAAATAACACCTAGTATTCATTGGCCCTCTCCCATCTAAGTATTAAGTTGACCTATAGCCTTGTTTAGGTGTCCATTTCTTTATATGAGGAGAGGGAGGGAGGGGAGAGACTGGCATCCCTGGTAAGGCAAGCAGGGTTTCCATTTGGTTTGAACTCTGTGTTTTTGTTATATCTTTCCACTTGGGTTAATTCTTCAGGAACCTGGGTTTTAAAACTTTTTTCCCCACACCACTTTAAACTAGAAAAAAACCATTTTGGGAACCTTGCCTTTTCCCATGGCACTTGCTTACCACAAATAACCAGATGGATTTGGAAGCCTCAACACACACAAACACACCCTGCCAGATTCTTGTAATATTCCCCAACCATGGACTTAACTTTTTCTACTTCCAGTTTCTGGAAATTTGCTGCCATTGTAACCTAAATATTTTATCTTCTACCTCTGTCAAATTCTCCGGTCCAGATAACTTGGACTGATAGTTAACTTAATTGAACAAATACAATTTATGAAACAATATGTAAAATAATTTTAAAGTGTATTTTCATCAAAGCTTGTAGTTACGGTTTACTAATCCTCATACTTTAGGTACCAAATCTCAGCTGTAATTCCTGCCTCCTCAACCATCTGTTTTCAAACCTCTTTAATAACCATCTCCTAATTCAAAATTCTCTCACACACAATTCTCTGGTGTAGGAGAAGCTAAAATGTACAGGTCTCTTTTAAGCTATATAATGACATCAAATTTGGATGTAATAAAAGTATATGAAATGATGCATGCTGTTCAAAAAAGATAGGGAGAAAAGTTTCCTCTCTCAGATTATTAATTGACATTAATGGTATTATCATATTGACCTGAACATACCTTGTTTTATTTCCAAAGCATAGCAAGGCTGAGTTTAGTTAGCACCTAAATGGGAAAACCACCAGACATCTGTAGGCAAAGCTTGAAACAAATCCTGCCTGAAATCCTAAGGAGTCAGTGCTGTCAGAGTTGATAGTACTGGGCAACAGGGATTCGCTGTGGCAGCCCCCTTTGTTGCTGTGTTTAAGACGTTTACAGTAATATTTCTTAATGCACAGAATTTTAAAAGGTCAGCAGCTCTTTTTCAAACAGCAATTACTGTATATACTCGAGTATAAGCCTAGTTTTTCAGCCCCTTTTTTAGGCTGAAAAAGGTCCCCTTGGCTTATATTTGAGCCAAGGTTATTTATTATTTTACTCTGTTATTAGTATTATTTTTATTATATTTATGTTATAACTCTATTATTATTTTTATTACAATTATTATTTTGCTCTATTATTATTGATATTATTACATTTACATTTTTCCTCTATTTTATTACATTTATTATTTTACTCTATTTATTACATTTATTATTTTACTCTATTTATTATTGTTATTAAATTTATTATTTTGCTCCCTTTATTATTTTTGGAAGGATACTAAGCACATTTACATTGAAGGAGGCTAGAATAGCGGTTTCATCAGAGCTGGACAGTCTTACATTACAGTTTTATGTAAATATTCAAAAACATTTAACCTGCTGGTACCTCAATTAATGTAATTTTATTGGTATCTAGTTTTATTTTGAAATTGACCAGTAGCTGCTGCATTTTCCACCCTCAGCTTATCTTTGAGTCAATACATTTTCCCAGTTTTTGTGGTAAAATTAGGTGCCTCGGCTTACATTCGGGTCGGCTTATACTCAAGTATATATGGTAGGTTTTTCTGACTAGTGGGAAATAATTTCTTTTGGTTTAAACTCTTCAACTGATATATTTCTCCCTTCCTGTGAGCCTTTTAGGTTATGACAAAGGTGGCTGCGTAGCCTTGGCCACGGGGAGTGCCATGGGACTCTGGGAGGTGAAGAACTGCATCAATTTCAAGGCCAAATATATCTGTAGGCAAACCTTGGGCACTCCTGTGAATCCTGAGCTTCCTCCCCCACATCCCACGCCCAGCCTCACTGCCACCTGCCCTATAGGATGGAGCACCAACCCCAAGCTGAGGCATTGCTATAAGGTAAGTCCCAAGCAAGGGGAGGACACATCCAAACTAATGGTTCACATCTTAAGTAAATTTTCTTACTTTGAATATTAACATAGTGCTCAAATAGTATTATAAGCCATGTAGCAGTGCATAATAGCAACGTGTCTTTTCTTGTGTGAAAACAAGAAATTAGTTTGAGTGCTTCATTAATATGAAAGTGAGTGAAAGGAAGCAAAATGCTTGTATGACCAAAGTGCTGAGGATAGCACAAAGGTTGATGAGATCGTGAATTATGGAGCATCAGAGGCTCTCCCCCTGCCATACCATCTGTATAAATAAAAATGTAATGTTCGTTTGTGGGATTAACAGAACTCAAAAACCACTGGACGAATTGACACCAAATTTGGACACAAGACACCCAACAACCCAATGTATGTCCACTCAAAAAAAAAATTGATTTTGTCACTTGGGAATTGTAGTTGCTGGGATTTATAGTTCACCTACAATCAAAGAGCATTCTGAACCCCAACCGACAATAGAATCGGACCCAACTTGGCACACAGTTCTCCCATGACCAACAGAAAATACTGGAAGGGTTTGGTGGGCAGTGTCCTTTGGTTTTGGAGTTGTAGTTCACCTAAATCTACACAAATACTCAATATGCCCAAATGTGAACACTGGTGGAGTTTGGGGAAAATAGAATCTTGACATTTGGGAGTTGTAGTTGCTGGGATTTATAGTTCACCTACAATCACAGAATATTCCGAATCCCACCAACGATAGAATTGGGCCAGACCTCCCACAGAGAACCCCCATGTGGGCCACAGCAACGTGTGGCAGTGGACGGCTAGTTGAATTATAAAACCTAAATCCAATTGTTAATTCTTTATAGAGTAAACCCACTGAATCAATGGGGATTTAAATCAGCAGCTATGTGAATACAATAAATATCATGAATCTATTCTAGTTGATTCAAGGCATGTGTAAGTAATAGATTGTGTTAGTACTGAGCAGTCACATAGTTTTAAGACAATTAAAAATGAAAGCAGGGACCAACCAATATTTTAAATGTGTAAAAATAATAAAACCTAATCTATTCATTAGGGATTTTAACTCCTCCTGAGCAATCTGGATTTCAGTTCTCATCAACCCTGCTACCATTACAAGTGTTTGGGATAATTGAAATATTATTTTCATTTATTACTGGCATTTGTACCCCGTCTCTTCTCAACCTCTGAATGGGGACTCAGGACAGCTTACATTAGTAACAGTGCAAGACTGCTGCATCACAATTACAATAATATAACACAATCAAATACAAAACAATCATTAAAACCAGTACATATAACATTAACATAATTAAAACAATAACACGCAGTCACAATGTCATCTGCCGCAACGCCATTCCAGTCAGGGTCCATTATGGTGCAAATTGCGTCTGCTGCCCGAAGGCACTGTGTAACACTATTTTTGTTCCTGGGATATAAATGTCATTTCCTAATAGGTTCTATCATAAAAAAACAGTGAAAATCTTGTTTTTGCTGTAGTTTTTCAATAAACATCTCACAGTCTCAATCAATTCAACATTGTTGAAGCCACAAAAATGAAGTGTCTGGAGTGTAACAACTACTTTCAAAGCAAGTACCACACAATTAAACAGGAAATAAAACATTTTTTTCAATTATTTTATATAGTGTAACAGTCCAACAACATCCAGAAGGCCAAAGCCACACACAGAGAGACAGAGTGTATCTCAAAACTAGCCAAATACAAAAACAGTCCTGGACCTCCTTTTGCAATATTGTAAACTCTGTTTTTGGGGAACTTCAAAGGGAAGACGCAGTAGGTGTCATGCACTCTGGAAATAGGAATCAATTAGCAACTTGGTCCATTTCTTCTCTACATCAGGTGTTCAGCTATGACAAACTGCAGGAAAAGAAAAGCTGGATCACGGCCCAAGTGTATTGCCAGGACCTGAAAGCCCAACTTTTGAGCCTGGGCAGTTATGAGGAGGAACATTTTGTGGCCAACACTCTCAACAAGATTTTTGGGTGAGGAATGAATTATAAAACAAAATTTCTAGGTAATACCTTTGTATGACTGTTTGTGGGAAGTGTACGCTTGCATATAGTTCTGTGTTATGATGATGCATTTGCAAAGGTAGCTGATGTGCTTACAGGGGTTGATCTGGCAATTCCTTTCTTTTCTTAAAGAGTGTCTCCTTCCACCTTTGTTCTCCCTAGTCGGTACTCAGAATGTGTTAATTAAAAAGAATACATGTTTTCAAATTTATTTTTAATAATATGGAATGCCAATAAGAAATAAAGATGTTGAAAGCCAAAAGAAAAAAAATATAAGAGCTTCCCAAATCTCTTGGAAAACAGTATCAACAACAAAACTTTATTTATATACCGCTCTGTCTCCCCAAGGGGACTCAGAGCGGTTTCCAAGTAACATAATCAATACATACAAAGAAAAGAGCATAAACATAAAATTAACAAGACAATATAAGCATTAAAAATCACAATAATCCTGCCTGTTCAAGGCAGTTTAAAAGGCCGAACCAGGCCGGGCTAGTGTGATATTAGGGGGCCTAGGAAATTAGGYAGAGTCTATGGCTATACATTTCCAGGGCCTAATAGAAGAAAGTGACCTAGATAATTGGTAGAAAAAGATATGGCCAATTTCAACAGTATCTGGGGCAGAGCTAGAACTAGTCGTTCTCAAAGATTTGTTTAAACTACCAGGTCTTCAGGCTCTTACGAAATGAGGGGAGGGAATGGGGCCTGTCTTATTTCTCCAGGAAGGRCATTCCAGAGGCGGGGGCCATCACCGAGAAGGCCCTCTCTCTCGTCCCCACCAACCGTGCTTGTGACGGTGGTGGGAGCGAAAGGAGGGCCTCCCCAGAAGATCTTAAAGTTCGCGCCRGTTCATAGAGGGAGATGCGATCGCGAAGATAGGCGGGGCCTGAACCGTTTAGGGCTTTATAGGTCATGACCTGCACCTTGAATTTGGCTTGGCAACTTATCGGCAGCCAGTGAAGCTGTTTTAAAAGGGGCATTGTATGCTCCCTATAGTTTGCTCCAGCCATCCTGGCTGCCGCCCGTTGTACCAGTTGGAGCTTCCAGGCCGTCTTCAAGGGCAGCCCCACATAGAGCCCATTGCAGTAGTCCAGTCTGGATGTAACCAAGGCGTGGACCATACTGGCCAAGTCACTGTTTGTGCAGGTCATGGAAAGAATGAAGGATCTTTGTTGTGGCAAAAATCCCTGCTTAGCTATTCCGTTACTAGGAAAATGCAGAATACATGTCATATGTTTGGTTTTTGTACAAAAATGCAGAACTTCAAAAAGTTCATACTTGGGCCACAACTCTCAGAACCCTCCAATCAGTGTGATCACTGACCATGTTGACTAGGAGATTTTAGAAGTTGTCCTCCAAAACAGTCACATTTTCATATAATTTGATAGGTTTATTAATACTTCCTTTTTTGATAGTTTTATGTAGAAACAAGTTAATTATATAGTGCTTTTGTGTCCATCCCCATCATTCAGTGTGATCTACTGTAGATTGCCACATTCTAAAGTGACCCCCTTGGTATCCACTGATAATTTTCTTTTTGTGGTTTCTTCCAGGGAATCAGAGCCTGAAATCCATGAGCAGCACTGGTTCTGGATTGGCCTCAATCGCCGGGATCCTGGATCTGAGAGGAGTTGGCGATGGAGTGATGGGCTGGGGGTAAGTGGCTCAGCTAGGTGAATTTTAAAGAGAGCAAGTGATGCTTCATATATATTTTACGAAAACCTTCCGACTAGAGAACATCTGAAGTGATAGGGTATTTTGGTGTTCAGGGGGCATGTACTGATTGAGAAAGAGGGATCTGAGGAATCAGGGCTGGTTCATCCCAATTTTTGGAGCATTTGTCAAAACCTTGTGTGTTCTCTTCAGTAGTGGGTTTGACTTTCACCATGTGCATGGTACCATCACGAGAGCACCAACTCTGTAACTGTTTTGGCTGGTGCTGATGAGAATTAGATTTAAGGAGGGATGGACAACTTGTGGCCTTCCAGATGATGTTGGGTTATCCATCTTTCCTCACCATTGACTGTGCTGACTAAGGTTGACAGCAGTTTCAGGCCCATAACACTAAAAAAGTTGCAAAATGAGAAGATCTAGTGTGTGGAGGAAAAGTGGAAAAATTCCACCTTCTTATTTATACTGATAGTAGTGTGGGACCAACATCATTAGGTCAGTATTGTTGGAGAGTGTGTGGCTGTAGGCCAACATCTATATAAATAAAAATGTAATGTTTGTTTGTGGGATTAACAGAACTCAAAAACCACTGGACGAATTGACACCAAATTTGGACACAAGACACCTAACAACCCAATGTATGTCTTTCACTCAAAAAATTGATTTTGTCATTTGGGAGTTGTAGTTGCTGGGATTTATAGTTCACCTACAATCAAAGAGCATTCTGAACCCCACCAACGATGGAATTGAACCAAACTTGGCACACACTTCTCCCATGACCAACAGAAAATACTGGAAGGGTTTGGTGGGCAGTGTCCTTTGGTTTTGGAGTTGTAGTTCACCTACATCCAGAGATCACTGTGGACTCAAACAATGATGGATCTGGACCAAACTCTACACGAATACTCAATATGCCCAAATGTGAACACTGGTGGAGTTTGGGGAAAATAGAATATTGACATTTGAGAGTTGTAATTGCTGGGATTTGTAGTTCACCTACAATCACAGAGCATTTTGAACCCCACCAACGATACAATTGGGCCAAACCACCCACACAGAACCCCCATGACCACCAGAGTGGGCCACAGCAACGCTTGGCAGGGGATGGCTAGTTTAGATTAGAATAGGTACTGCCTTGCTTTTGCCACCTTTATACAGGCAACATTGGTTACCTTCAGCCTTTAGTGGCAGAATAGCCCAAGAGCAATACTGGTTGGAAGCACCAAGGCACACCCCACCCACCCAGCATTGGCTCATCTGGGAAAACACTGTTCCCTGAAGTGGAAGAAGTCATGCATGCATCATAATTAATATGGTGGGCCAGCGAAACTCACATTTTTGTCACCCAGCCTCTGTAGTAATGATTGGCAATTTTGGGATGAGGCACTGAGAATTTTTGGCCAGAGTGTTCTCAGAGTTTCATAGGATGGAACCATGGCAGTTAAAAAAGGAATAGCAGCATTCTAACTCTTTTGTGTGAATGGATCCAAGGACTAATGCATGTTTTTGGTCTTTAGTTTTCATACCACAACTTTGACCGCAGTAACCATGATGACGACGACATCCGTAACTGTGTGGCACTGGACCTGGCATCCTTGCAGTGGATGCCTCTTCAGTGTGAGGTGCTACTGGATTGGATCTGCAAACTGCCCAAAGGTAACTGGAATTTAAACGATTATTTATTTATTTACTACATTTTTACCCTGATCTATCTCAACCCCGGAGGGGACGCAGAGCGGCTTCCAAATCGTCACCATTCAGTGCTGCCTTAAACATAAAAACATACAATAAATAAAATACAATAAACATTAAAATAATAAAAAAACATAAAATCTCTTCCCTTATCAAAGTGGGAGGAGAGCTAGAGAAGAAAAGGGAAATTTGAAAAGCACTACACAATGAAACACAGCTTTAAACACACACACCCCTTGTATGAAGGTATGTTTATTTCCCTGTCTCTCTATGAGTGCTCCCTTACAAATAGTTCTGCCCCTTTATCTCACCCTGAGTTTTTAAATAATTTTATGTACATGCGGTCCGCTCACTGTTATTATGTTTGGTTTACTGTGTTTTTTTATGTTTTGTGTATATTGTTTATATACTTATATGTTTTATACTTTAATGTTATGTTGTTTATTTTATTGCAATTTGTATCTTATTGCATTGTAATTTGTTGTTCGGGCTTGGCCACTCCGAGTCCCCGTTGGGGAGATGGTGGCAGGGTATAAATAAAGATTATTATTATTATTATTATTATTAAAATTATTATTATTATTATTATTATTATTATTAAAAAAACCTCTGTTACTAGCTGTTTGGAGTCTTCTGCCTCCCATTCTAAGGAATATCTTTTAAGCATCGGTGTCACAATCAAATAATCACAGCAAATAGAACAACATTGTTGTGTTTTCTTCTTTTTTCCTGCATATTTTGAAGCAAGATAGAAGCCAGCCTGTTTGTCTTCTTTTGTCTAATTCTTATTATCCTTGAGCCAGAATGAGGCCAATAAAGCAAAAACAACAACAACAACAAAACCTCAGTGACATACACTGGATTGAACCCTTGGCAGACAGTGATACAAGCTACCATGTAGACAAGATGTTTCATATTGTGCAACCAGGGGGAAATGGTTCTGAATCCTTCTCCTTGCACTGACCATACAACTCCATATCCAGTAATTCAGAGGTTCTTATGTAGCAAGGTGGCACCTCTAGAGTTAGTCCATTGGTCTCTGACTATTTTTTTCAGATTTTATTCTCTTTTTTTACCTGTTGAAAATTGAATGGAGCACTTTTAATGAAGTGGAAGGGCAGAATACAAATACAGGCATTCCCAAAGTTATGAACAAGATATGTTCTGTAGATTTGTTCTTAAGTTCAATTTTTTAAAGTTGGAATAGGCACAATTGTAAGTATAACTCCAGCCAAAAATAGATAGATAGATAGATAGATAGATAGATAGTTAGTTTTGGATAGCATAGGGAAGGGTTAACACCCCTGTGGTGCTTGTTTTGCTGTCTGTCCTCCTGTTCAGGTGTCACCTCACTTTCCGTCCCTGTGAGAATTGGATTTTGAAAAAAATGGGTTGTTGTGGAACATGGATTGGTGAGAAAGCTTCAGTAGAGACCCCCATTTTCCATGATAACTCTTTCAGAAATGAATTTCCCTTCTGAGGGGTAGATTTCTCTCTCTTCGTGTTGTCTCACTCCTGTTCTTAACTATGAGTCATTTGTAAGTCAGATGTTTGTAACTTGGGGACTGACTGTACTTCAAATAAATAATAATGACCTTGGTTCATTGTTCTTTGACAGTATTTAGCCCTTCTACATCACCACCATGGATTGTGTATACTGTTTATATGCTTATATGTTTTATACTTTAATGCTATGTTTTTTATTTTATTGCAATTTTTATCTTATTTTATTGTAATTTGTTGTTCGGGCTTGGCCTCATGTAAGCCGCCCCGAATCCCTGTTGGGGGAGATGGTGGCGGGGTATAAATAAAGATTATTATTATTATTATTATTATTATTATTATTATTATAGTGCAAATAGGAGCATCTTCTATTATTGTTGTTACTGTTGTTGCTGTTATTATTGTCTTTGGAAGGTGGCTTCTTTTTGATATTATGAACTTAAAAAGCATGTTGAAATATGTTTGTTTTATTCCTTTTCTCACATGTTGATCCTGTGGTGTTGTTTAATAGGCACTGAGATAAAGGAACCAGAGACAACTGTCCAGGGTGAGTATACATATTCCACTAACCCCATTAAAGCTTCTTTTCCATGAAAGTCTCTCTCCCTTCCTTTCTTACCTTGTAGACACAACACATGTGTTTTGATGTGGAGGACTGGCATTCTTTCCCGCATGTGCCAGTACCATATTTCTGCCCATTCGTTACAATTGTTTGTTTCTTTGTTGGAGCTTATCAGAGATTTGCTGTCAGTGGCTTGTGGACTACAAATTCACAAGACATTCTGAGTAGCAGCTGTTCAGGTTCAATCCAGGCTAGAGGGAAGGAGTGAAACTGTTTTGTTTGTTTTTAACTGCATCATATTTTTGAAACCTAACATAATGGATTTGTCACCAGAGTGTAGGTGTAGATGTAGAAAGAGATATAGCAGGGTTAGAGAAAGTGAATTTTCTGGACCACAGTTCCTGTGAATGACCAGGAAGCATGGCTACAGTTTGAGATTTAGGAAGGGAGCATGGCCACAGTTCCTCAAGAGAAAATAGATGGTTAGGTTATTCCCCAGGGCAGATCTCTGATCCTAGTTTCTGGAAAGCATAACAATTGACTGTTATTAGCCCCTTTTTTTCCTTTGAGAGTTTATGGTTTGGTTTCTGATAGAACCAAGCTTTTTGTATGGGATGATAATTCATTTGATTCAACACATCTCAGGAACCTGTGGCCTTCCAGTTGGGTTGAATCTCAGTTTCAGTTTCCCACATCCACCATAGCCAGTGGTCAAGGATAATGGAAGCTGTTATCCAGCAACATCTGGAGGGGGTTGGATGAGATCTCTTTCATGATTCTGTGAAATGATATCCCATCTTATCTTGGAAGCTAAGCAGGGTTCAAAAATGGGAGACCAAAAATGAAAACTAAGTTCTGTAGAGTAGATTTTGAAGGAAAGAACTAGATACAGTGGTTCTCAACTTGTGGGTCCCCAGGTGTTTTGGCCTACAACTCCCAGAAATCCCAGCCAGTTTACCAGCTGTTAGGATTTCTGGAAGTTGAAGGCCAACACATCTGGGGACCCTCAAGTTGAGAACCACTGAACTAGAATAAAACACCTTTGAGTTTCTTTTGCCCAAGAAAATTCTATGACATGAATAGGTTATCATAAGTCAACAGGCAACTGAAGCCACACAAACAGACACAACTTAATGCCTTAGAGTCCATATCATTGGATGAAGAGCAGATTTTGAAAATTTTTCAGGAATCTCTGACTGTGTCAGTCCATCATGTTCTGTAGCTGTTTTATCAGAAGAGCTAAATTCTCAAATGGGAATGAATGTTTGCTCTAAGGATTAGTTAAAATTGTTACTCTGAAAAGATCAAGTCATGTCAAAATCTCATCACATTTCCTGTTTTTCCTACAGGGAGCAATGAGTGGGTGAAATATCAGGATGCTGAGTACAAGTTCTTTGACCATCACTCCACTTGGGTGCAGGCTCAGCGGATCTGTACTTGGTTCCAAGCTGACCTGGCATCAGTTCACAGCCAAGCTGAACTGGACTTTCTGGGGCAAAACTTGAAGAAGGTAGGGAAGCATTTGAAACCTATCAAATATTTGAGCTGATAAATGCAGTAACAATTAGCCATGGAACTAGCTTAATCAGTCTAGCTTTTGAGACAAAGTTTGACCAAAAATGGGGTTGGTAAAATAGAAAACAAAGGATGGCTGACAAAACAAGGATTGTATTGTCGAAGGCTTTCATGGCTGGAATCACTGAGTTGTTGTAGGTTTTTCGGGCTATATGGCCATGTTCTAGAAGCATTCTCTCCTGACGTTTCGCCTGCATCTGTGGCAAGCATCCTCAGAGGTTGTGACCTCACAACCTATGAGGATGCTTGCCATAGATACAGGCAAAACGTCAGGAGAGAATGATTCTAGAACATGGCCATATAGCCCGAAAAACCTACAAAAACAAGGATTACATTTAGCAGATTCCTCTTGTCCTCTTTGGCAAGAGTAAGGCTGAGTTTTCCTTTCCTCTTTTTGACACTTCTAAACACAAGAAACTATGAAACTCTGAGGCTCCAAGTTCTTCTAATTATTTTCTGAAATCACCAAGTCACTTGTTTTCATAATGATTTTTTTTGTTGTGTCAGGGGCGACTTGAGAAACTGCAAGTCGCTTCTGGTGTGAGAGAATTGGCTGTCTAATATAAATATGTACAATTCTTCCATCTGGCTAGTTCTCAAGAGGCCAGGAGCAGCACTGGTGGATTGGACTGAACACCTATGAGAACGATGGACGATTTCGGTGAGTCTCTGTCTCCATAGCCCTCAAAGTTGCTATTCAGAAGACTTTCTTTGTCACCCAAATTTCTACTGTAGAAGTTTTCCAATGAACCTTTTGCCTTTCCAGGTGGTCTGACGATTCCCTCTTGAACTTCATCTTGTGGGCACCAGGCAAGCCACGGCCTATCAGCAAGGACAAGAAATGTGTGTACATGACAGCGAGCCGAGGTGCATAGTGGGTTAGCATACAAATTCCTGACGTTCCTAAATAAGTCAGATGCCATGTTTGTTTCTGCTTAGTTGAGAATTGGGCTGTGTAGTCCCTTTTTGGTTCCAAAAGGGGAGGGGAGGACAGATTGCAGCCCTCCAGGTCTAATCTGGCCAACTGAGGTTCGTCACCCAGTCAAAAGAGAGTCTTGAGGAAATTATCCCCTCCCCACAAGTCCTTCTCCCTAGAGCAATAGGATCCCCCTGTTCGCTACTAGTCTTGCTAAGTGGAAAAATATGCATTGTGTGTGAATTCTACCCTTATCTTCTTTATCTCACTCAAGTTTTAATTAGTTTTTAATCAGTTTTTTGTTTTAAATTTTACATGTAGCCTGCCCCTTGTCACTGTGATTGTGTTTATTGTAATTTTATACTGTTGTGTTTTTACATGTTTTATGTAATTATGATGTTATTGTTTACTGTGTATTTTCGGGTTGTGTTTTCAGTAATTTGTGTTTGGGCTTGGCCTCATGTAAGCTGCTCCGAGTCCCCATTGGGGAGATGATGGCGGGGTATAAATAAAGATTATTATTATTATTATTATTATTATTATTATTATTATTATTATTATCTACCCTAAGTCTCTATATCAAAAGGAAGGAGGGATAAAAATAAAGTGAGGGCCAGGTTAGGGAGAAGGGGTAGGCTCCACAGTCACCTACGGACCCATCGCCAGGATACTACACTTGGGGGACCATCATCCTCGGACTACGAGGGATCGCCTAAGTAAGTAAGGCTCCATGGATTGAGGGCGGGTGTGTGGAACCCAGCCCCCAAGACCAAAATAATTCCTTGCCCAGTTTTTCATTCAACTTCAGTTGCCATGGCAACATCCCATGGAATACTGGGATTTGCAGTTTAGGGAAGGGCATTGAGATCTACCATCTCATAGAACTACAAACACCAGAATGCAGCCATGGTTACTAAAGACGAATATAGCACTATAATTAAGTAGTGTGAATAGGTTTCTAGTAACTTGTCCATTTTTTTCCTGGCATTCACTTATGGCTGAACCTCTTTTGAGTACACGAAGAACACAAGAAACTATGAAACTCTGAGTTCTTCTAATTATTTTCTGAAATCACCAAGTCACTTATTTTCAAAATGATAATGGATTTCACCTACCATCTTGAGTCCCTTAGGACCAGAATGATACAAATAGATAAAAGTGTGTGCACAGAAGCTAGAAAAATTCAGATGGATCTATAAGAAATGCAGTCACATCAGTCCCCTGGGGAAAAACCTAAGTATCTATTCAATGTTTTCCCTATTAAAAAAGGAAAGAGGGCGAAAGGTTACAGTGATCAAGAAGTCCTTCACCTGCATTTCTTTACCACTAAGGCACTATTGGGATATCTCCCTCTCCCTCCCTCCCTAATTCTGTTTTGTAACTGTCTTTCCACAGTTTCTCAAGAAAAAATAGAAATTCACAAAAAAATTGCAGCCAAATATGCAGGTTGACTACTGCTACCCTGCTACACATAATGTACATTTTCACTTGCAGTTACTGGTTTTTACTGTGGTTCAGAGACTATAGGAGATTTCTTCCAGATTTTTTCCTGTGCTAGAAGTTGTAATATAAAGCTCAAAAGCTTTCATGGCACAACACGGTTTAATAGTTCCACAGGTGGAACTACCCTACATATCTGTTCTCATCATGTTTCCAGACTTATTATTTAGCTACTGCAGCTCCCCCTTTTAGTGACTGGTGGAAAGTTGGGAAGATGGAGGAAACATCTGGTTATGTCCCCAGAAACAGATCAGGGATACCATCAATTGAGATCTGCAGTGGTTTTCCAGAGCTCTCGCAGGTTATTTGGTTTCTGTGTCTAGATATGAGGACCCCCTGCTCTCTGCTAGTCACTGAATGGTTATAGGGGGCAGGTGGGGGGACTGCGGCAGCTAAAAGTCTAGGGACTTTGGTCTTTGTAGAACACAGGGGTCCCCAAACTTTTTAAACAGAGGGCCAGGTCACAGTCCCTCAAACTGTTGGAAGGACGGATTATAATTTGAAACAAAACATGAATGAATTCCTATGCACACTGCACATACCTTATTTGTAGTGCAAAAAAAACCCACTTAAAAACAATACAATAATTAAAATGAAGAACAATTTCAACAAATATAAAATTATTAGTATTTCAATGGGAAGTGTGGGCCTACTTTTGGCTGATGAGATAGGATTGTTGTTATTGTTGTGTGCTTTCAAGTCGTTTCAGACTTAGGTTGACCCTGAGCGAGGGCTGGGAAATGACCTTGGAGGGCTGCATCCACCCCCTGGGCCTTAGTTTGAGGACCCCTGTTGTAGAAGGTGGAAGAAAATAGAACTTTAGTAACAACCAAACTTATTTGACATTATTCCTGTATATATGACTATCAGGATACTAGCCTAAATGTGTGCATGTGAAGAGGGAAATTGGGTCTTCCATGTCTTCTCTTAAGAAGCCAATTGTATCTTACATTTCATGTACAAAGCCAACACCAGTCCACTGACACTTCGTTTTCCCTTCTTCTGCAGAGGACTGGGGTGACCAGAAATGTCTCACTGACTTGCCTTACATCTGTAAACGTAGCAATAGAACCACCTTGCCATCAGTGCCCATGCCAACACCTGGCAGTTGTGCCCAGGGTTGGCATGAACTCAGCAATAAGGTACTTGGATCACTGCTCCTTTGTCAGCGTATACGTAACATCTATCTTAGAAGTCAGAGCTTTTGGGGAATTGCCATTCTTGCTTCAATGGGACTGTGGCGCAACTGTCTGAGTGTCAGCTGCATTAAGATTACTTCTGACCAAAAAAGTCATGAGTTCGAAGCCAGCCCGGGTTGGAGTGAGCTTCCGACCAATTGTGTAGCTTGTTGTCGATCTTTGCAACCCAAAAGACAGTTGCATCTGTCAAGTAGAAAAATTAGGTACCACCTATGTGTGGGGAGGCTAATTTAACTAATTTACGAGACCATAAAAAAGACTCCAGTAAAGCACACCAGCAAAAGCATGCAGGGAATGCGGAAGTACCATCAGTGTAGTAGATGGACGATGAAAGTGACAGCTCCCCTGGTGGCCAGAAAAGTTAAATAGCCTCTGACTGTCTGTCTATATCTGTTGTGTGTCTTTAGCATTGAATGTTTGCCATATATGTGTACATTGTAATTCGCCCTCAGTCCCCTGCGGGGTGAGAAGTGCGGAATGTAAACCTTATATAAATAAAAATGTAATGTTCATTTGTGGATTAACAGAACTCAAAAACCACTGGATGAATTGGCACCAAATTTTGACACAATACACCTAACAACCCAATGTATGTCCTTCACTCAAAAAAATTGATTTTGTCATTTGGGAGTTTTAGCGACAAACAGCAAAGGAGTTGGAGATTAAATGAATTCTTGCTTAAAAATGAAGAAGATGTAGATATGTGTAGAAAAAAAATTAAAGAATTCTTTGAGTTCAACGCCAATAAAGAAGTGAAGGAAGAGGTGGTATGGGACGCCGGGAAGGCGGTTATAAGAGGCCACCTAATTCAGCAAGCAATAATTCGCAATAGAAAGAGAAATGAGGAACTCTCTAAATTACTGAAGAGTATTGAGGAAAAAGAGAGCTTACTTAAAAAGAAGCCAGGAAATCAGGATAGAATTAGAGATGCTGAGAAAACAAAGGGATTCGTACCAACTCGAACATATAGCGAAAAATTTGAAATACCTGAGGGCCAAATATTATGCACAAGCCAATAAACCGGGCAAACTCTTAGCCAAATCCCTCAGGGAAAAAAGACAATCTCAACACATCATGAAGATAATTAAGGATGGGACACACTACACAGATGAGGAAGGGATCAGCAGACAATTTAAGGACTTTTACGAGGAACTCTATAAAAAAGAAAATATATCCCAAGAAGAAATAGTTAAATATTTATCAAAATATAATTTGGAGAAGCTCACTGAACAACAAAGAGAAATGCTGAACAAAGAGATACAGGAGAGTGAGATAATTAGAGCAATAAGTGACCTCTCCTTAGAAAAATCGCCAGGACCGGATGGAATTACATCTCTATATTACAAACTATTTAGAGATGAGCTGTTACCACATATGAAGATACTATTCAACAATATACTAAACGAGGCAAGAATCCCGGACTCCTGGAAAGAGACGACCATTTCTCTAATACATAAAACAGGTTCAGAAGAAGAGAACGTCAAAAATTATAGGCCAATTGCTTTATTGAACGTTGATTATAAAATATTTGCACATACAATGGCTAATAGACTAAAGATCTACCTGAATGAGGTAATCAAGGAAGACCAGAATGGATTTCTTCCGGGAAGACAAATGGGTGAAAATATGAGAACCATCCTAGATATTATAGAGTTCCACGAAGCTAACCATCAAAGAGAATTAGGCCTTTTATTTGTAGATGCCGAGAAGGCTTTCGATCGAGTGAACTGGGACTTCATGATGCATTTAGCTAAGGAGAGAGATATGGGTTTCCAATTTAATAATATATTGAAGGCCATATATACAAATCAAAGAGCCAGGATAAGGGTAAATGGCCACCTCACAGACAATATCCAAATTGAGAGGGGCACTAGACAGGGCTGCCCCCTCTCACCCCTTTTATTTATATGGTCTTTGGAGATCCTTCTGGAAGGAATAAGGAGAGATGGGAATTTAAAGGGTGTGAAAATAAGAAAAGATGAGTTCAAAACAAAAGCGTACGCGGATGATATCGTCTGTATAATATCAAATCCAGTGGAGAATATCGCTAATTGGATAGAAGTGATCCAGGAATACGGAAGGGTAGCAGGGCTAAAGATAAATAAACAAAAGACTAAATTATTAACAAAAAACATCAGCAAAGCTAAGAAATTAGAACTGGAGAGGACCACAAATTTCAGTTTAGCTGGAAAAGTTAAATATCTTGGGATAACCTTAACAACAAGTAATATACAGTTGGTTAAAAACAATTATGAACATACTTGGAAGGAAATCTCCAAAAATTTAGAAAAATGGAAACAATTAAAGCTAAGTATCATGGGGAGAGTGGCTCTGATAAAGATGAATATTCTACCTAAGATGGTTTTTTTATTCCAAATGCTCCCGATACTCAGAACAAATCATTATTTCGGAATATGGAAAAAAGACATGCAGAAATTTATTTGGCAGGGAAAAAACGCCAGAATTAAATATACGACAATGATTGACGCGAGGGAAAGGGGAGGTTTGTCGTTACCAGACTTCCAGTTTTATTTTGAAGCCTCTGCATTGACATGGGTTAAGGAGTGGGCAACCCTTAAAAAGAAAAAACTTCTAAATCTGGAGGGCGCAGACTTACGGAGGGGCTGGCATGCCTATTTATGGCATGGGAAGGCCAGAATAGAAAAGAACTTTACTAGCCACATCATCCGGGCTGCGTTGCTGAAGGTATGGGAGAAGTACAAAACTAGATTTTACGACAAAACACCCCTCTGGATTTCCCCTATTGAGGCTTTTCAAAAAAGGGAGCTCCCCAGAGACAGCTGGCACACATATAAGGTCCTTTTAACAAAGGTTGGAAATCAATACAGAATGAAGTCAATAGAAGAACTGAAGTCCTTAGATCCAAATTTCTCCTGGTTCCACTACCATCAGGTGTCGGACACCTTCAAGGAGGAGAATAAAATAGGTTTCGCCTCAATTGACTCCCTTTGGGATAAGGTAATGGTGAAGGAGAGGAAGGTGATCAAAATCCTCTACCAAAAATTGTTAGAATGGGGGACAGAAAAAGATCTTATTAAAGAAAATATGATTTTATGGGCGTTAGACTTGAAACACACCATCCTCTTGAAAGATTGGGAAGATATCTGGAAAGATAAACTCACACTTACCAAAACAGCAATCATTAAAGAAAGCTGGTATAAGATGTTTACACGGTGGTACCTAACACCGACAAGAATAGCAAAATTTCAACATGGGGCAAGCAATTTATGTTGGAAATGTGGTACCAAGTTAGGCACATTTATACATTGCTGGTGGGATTGTAAAAAAGTCAAAACCTTCTGGAAGGAGGTCCACCGAAACATACAAGGGATCCTGCAAACACAGTTCGAGTTAAAGGCGGAATACTATCTCCTGCACTTATTGGACTTTAAGATGGAGAAAAACAAAGAGAGCTTGTTATTCCATCTATCAGCAGCTGCAAGAACTGTAATAGCGAATAAATGGAAAGTGAGGGAAGTGCCATCATTGGAGGCATGGTTATATAAGATAAAGGACTTTATGGAGTTAGATTCGTTATCAAATTTGATTTATAATATAAATACAAAGAAAAGAGTAGATTGGTATCCACTTAGATTCTTTCTTAAAGAAAAGAGAAAGTTAATTGTATGAGATTTGTTGTATGTTGACGGCCGCAATTAAGATTAGGTAATATCTGATAAGAATATACAAGGATGTAATTACCCCCAAGACTTTGGGAAGTCCAAAGAGTGTATGTATGTGTAAGTTATTGTTCACATCCGACTATCCCCTCACTACCCTTCCCACTCCCTTTCCCACCCCCCTCGATCCCACCCTACCCTTTTTTCTTTAGTAAGCTATAGGTGGATTTCAGTAGAGATTGAAATATATATAGAACTGACATTTAAGTTTATAAGAAGGTTATAAATGCTTTAATGATGGGAAACTTTAAAAGAGAAATGTAAAAGGATTGATGTCTTGAATTAACATTTCTACTGCAACCTACATGTGTTAAGATATGAATGTTTTGTAATTATGGAAAAGCTCTTAATAAAAATTATACTCAAAAAAAAAAAAAAAAAAACAATAATGGATCTGGACCAAACTTACACGAATAATCAATATGCCCAAATGTGAAACACTGGTGGAGTTTGGGGAAAATAGACCTTGACATTTGGGAGTTGTAGTTGGTGGGATTTATAGTTCACCTACAATCACAGAGCATTCTGAATCCAACCAAAGATAGAATTGGGCCAAACCTCCCATACAGAACCCCCATGTGGGCCACAGCAACGCGTGGCAGGGGATGGATAGTACTGTAAATAAATGTAAATAAATGGTGGGTGGAAAAATAAGTCCTCCATGTGTCCTGGCTGCTTCAGAAAAAGGAAAGAAAATCCTTCAGATTTCCCAGGATGGTTGCAGGGTGGGGAGCTTGCTCTCAAGCCAAGTTAGTTAGGGTTAGCTTATGGAGGTAAACAACTGAAAGCTGGTGTTATGGAGGGGGTGAGGTGTCAAGCTGGGTCTCACAAGGCCAGGACTCAAAGTCCAGAGAGGATTAAATGGATGAGAGTCACAGTCTCTCAGCTTATCTCATTAGATTCTTGTGGTTGCAACAAAAAATGAAGCAATAATTCAAAAGAAAAAATAATGACAAAAAACCTTTCATTTCATTTCTTCTTTATCTCTATGCTATGAAGTGCTTTAGGATTCACAGCCAAGAGCAGGTGACATGGCCAGAAGCAAAGCGCAAGTGTGAGATTCAGGGGGGCATGTTGGCTACTGTCGCCAATCACCTGGAACAAGGTAAGGTTTATCCAAGATTTCTTTTGTTCACATGCAAATACATATGTACAGTGAACCTTCAAGAGGCATTGGATGTGGATCTGCAATTTATTGTGACTATGGATTGTTGTGCCTCAAATAGTAAATGGTGGCAGCATGAACATGTGCAGTCACACTATTGCCATTTAAGAATATAAGGAATGACTGTCCATGTTTTTGTTTGCATCTGTGATGGATCCTGGAACTAGAGCGGACCCACTGTACACATGCAGATACATGCACACACAATTAAACAAGTTGGGGTCCAGGTAGGAGTGTTCGCTAAACCAAGGAAAATACAGTTTCTTTGGGCATGTGGGAGGTGTGCTGGCATCAGGCTTTTTTGTGGGTCGAGTTAGTTACCTGAGAATTGCCATCTTAAATAAGACCAATTGATTTGCTTTCAGCAAATCAGATCCCACAAGAAGGTCACAAACATGGCAAGATAGTGACAACCATCTTCTAATATATCATATGTTTGGAAAGCCATCATTTAACTGTGCTTTGTTCCTATTAACAAGGTGTTTGAGGAGAGAAATTTGTGAAAACAAATTTATAATCATGTTTAAAATATTTATTTATTTATTTATTTACTGTATTTGTATACCGCCTTTCTCAGCCTGCAGGCAACTCAAAGTGGTTTACAGGGCAACAATTCAATGCCCACAATACCATAAATATAATTAAAAACATTAACATATAATATAAAAACCATAACACAATCAATAAAACCATAAATCATTAGCGTCTCCTTGTTAAAAACATTGTCCTGTCCTATCGTCTAGTCGTTCCATTTTCCTATGTCAGTTACTCTGCATTTACAAAGGCTTGCTCAAAAAGCTATGTCTTGACTTTTTTTTGGAATGTTAAAAGGGGGGGCAATCTGATATCTCTAGGGAGGGCATTCCATAACCATTTTTGTTATTTTTTTTATTCCTTTTGGTTACTTAGATAGCAAAACTTAGGACTGATAAGAGAGTGCCATAAAACTTGAAAAATTATTCAAAATGTTTTCAAAAATCCATTAAATTTTAATTTTTTAAACAATTAACTAAACAATAAGTGGAAAATATTACTCCTTGCTTCAAAGAAAATCAACGTATTATTTTCGAAATAGAACTTTGTTATGTCTTCCTTACATATTTAGAAAAAAAGAAAGGATGAAAAAAAGAAGTGTCTAAATTAATTGTAATTTGTCAGTTCTGTCAATGTTCAGTAGGCATTTGTTAGTTCTCTTACTTGGGGGAGCTATTCATTTCTATTCTGAAACAAACCTAGTTATTGGTACCATTCTTTTTCATTGGACAATTGTGGAGTTGGGGAATGCTGAAAATTAGTATTATGATTGAGTTGTTGAAGGCTTTCATGGCTGGAATCACTGGGTTGCTGTGAGTTTTCCGGGCTGTATGGCCATGTTCCAGGAATGCCACAAAAAAATGTTGGAGAGGTTGCCAGGAAGTGGGTACATATATACATATGTGGTGGCAATGTAAATATGTAAATGAACTTTGGGGGAAGGTATTTGGAGAAATAGAAGCTATAATGGATATGAAAATAGGAAAAAGTGCAAGCATTGCACTGTTGTCACTAAATAAGGTTAAGAAATTGAAAAAAAACAGAGAAAGATGCAATAGATAATATGTTAACTGCAGCAAGATTACTGATAGCAAAGAATTGGAAAGGTAAAATAAATATACCAATTGAAGAATGGTATAAAGAACTATGGAAAATAGCAATAAATGATAAATTGACATGTAGGTTCAGAGTCAGGAAAGGGGTATGGAAGGAAAACTACTTTGATGAAGTTTGGGGGAAACGGCTTAAAAGAACTAGATGGGAAATTACCTCCACAAGAAGAAGTGGTATTTTGGAACAAAACATGGAATGGACAAAAGGAAAGAGAACTAAAGAGATTAAGAGAATTTCCTCCAGAAAATTACCAATTGATGTTGCCCCAGGAGGTAATTCAATGGGAGATGCAAGAAAACCTACATGAATAAGGATCTCAGAATTTACTCCAATAATATCAATGGCATTAGTTCCCAAATAAAAGAAATAGAATTTTTAATTTTTTAAGACAAAAAAATTATGTTCTGATCGCACTTCAAGAAACGCACATCGCAAACAAATATATAAAACACTTAACACATGAAAGACTGGGCAAAGAATTTTATGCATCATGCAATGAAAAGAAGAGAAGAGTAGTCCTCTATGCAAAAACATGGCTAACACCGAAACAAGTTTTTAAAGATAATGAAGGAAGATATGTTGGTATTCTTATTGAAATAAACAATAAAAAAATACTGATTTGCAATATTTATTGTCCGAATGGTCCCAAACTGAATTTCATTAAAGATTTAAAAAGCAATATAGAAAAACATGAGTACTATGAATTAATAATATATACACTTATAGTTGATGTAATGAATTGAGGACGGAATAGAAGAGTATTGAAGGTATTTATGTATTGATGCATTCTAAGAAAACCAATAAAATATATTAAAAAAAGAAGAAGCATTCTCTCCTGATACTTCACCCACATCTATGGCAGGCATCCTCAGAGGTTGTGAGGTCTTTGGGAAACTAGGCAAGTGGGGTTTATATAAAGATAATGCTTCTGGAACATTGCCATGCAGCCTAGAAAGCTCATAGCAACCCACTATTATGACTTCTCAGTCCACCTTATTATTATTATTATTATTAAACTTTATTTGTACCCCGCTAGCATCTCCCGCAGGACGTGATGTGGCTTACAAAGGCCAAGGCCTCAACACAACAACAGCAAAACAATAACAATAAAATTTAAAGCAAATTAAAAACAAGCAATAAGCAATAACAAAACATTACATCATTAAACAATAATAAAAACCTGGGCCGGGCCAGTGATGGTTAAAAAAGTGCTGAGTATGGCAGGTGGTGTGTTGGATTTCCGGGCAAGTGCAATGTGCAGAGAGTCTTAAACTCTAATGAAGTGCTTCTGGGACGTAGTGCTGGAGGTTATCCTATTCCGGAAAGGCACATCGGAATAGSCAGGTCTTCAGATTCTTCCTAAAGACTGCCAACGAGGGTGTTAGTCTAATGTTTTTGGGGAAGGTGTTCCAGAGTCGGGGGGCAACCACAGAGAAGGCCCTGTCCCTCGTCCCCACCAAACGAGCCTGCGACGCAGGTGGGATCGCGAGCAGGGCCTCTCTGGATGAACGAAGGGAGCGCAGAGCCCCTATATTTCTCAAATAATGTCAAGCACTTCCCATTTCTTTGCTTCCTTCCCACAGCTTTCATAACCACTCTTCTCCCAAACATAACTTTTGACCTGTGGATTGGCTTCCATGATGCGAAGAAGGAATTCCAGTGGGTGGAGTCTGAACTGGTCCAATATGTCAACTGGGCTCCTGGTGAGCCATCTGGGTACAAAACATCCACTGCCAGTGACAACCCAGTAAGCTAAACCTTTGTGCTTCCCCCATCCAGGGACCATTATTAGGCAGTGCGAGGCAGCTGCTTCAGGCAGCAGACGCTAAGGGGTTGGGAGCAGAACGATTTTGAATGAGAGCTCTATGGAGAGTTTGAAGGGGCTCTATAAAACATTAGGTCGGGTCCTCTGAGTACAGGAATCATAGAATCATAAAGTTGGAAGAGACCTCATGGGCCATCAAGTCCATCCCCCTGTCAAGAAGCAGGAATATTGCATTCAAATCACCCCTGACAGATGGCCATCCAGCCTCTGCTTAAAAGCTTCCAAAGAAGGAGCCTCCACCACACTGCGGGGCAGAGAGTTCCACTGCTGAATGGCTCTCACAGTCAGGAAGTTCTTCCTCATGTTCAGATGGAATCTCCTTTCTTGTAGTTTGAAGTCATTGTTCCGCGTCCTAGTCTCCAAGGAAGCAGAAAACAAGCTTGCTCCCTCCTCCCTGTGGCTTCCTCTCACATATTTATACAACTCTGTATAAATATGTGAGATATAGGAACTCTGGCTGGAGAATCCCCTACAGGTAGCCTAGTTTTGAAGACACCCTTCATCTTTCTGGGCAATTGGATCAGCTGCCAAATTGCTCTTCTTGTCAAGACATTCCTTCTAATTTGCAGTTAAAATCTACCATACTATTAATAGACCTGATCCTACCCTTTGTAGCATCGGAGAACAAACCTATGACATTGTGAACACAGATGAGTGCCTTTGATCTTCTTGCTCCTGCTTCTTACAGACCAATTGTGCTGTAGTATGGCATGGCTCCCCATTCCTCTTCACTGGTCGTTGGGATGATAGGAACTGCCTGGAGGAGAAACATGGCTTCATCTGCCAGAGGAGCAAAGGTAATGTGGTGGGGTAGAATATGCAAAGAGGATAACGTTAGCTGGCCTACAGTTCTGTTTGTGCCACTGTTGCTCATACCTCCAGGATTTATCCTAGAACATGGTTAGAGAAAGAAGTCATGGTTGCTGTAATCTTTCCTCTGAAGGACTGATGTTTCTTTATAGAAGCAGGTAAGGACTGACAGCTGATGGAAGTGGCTGGTTGGAGAGAAGTTTTAATAAAATACATGTATAATGTTCTGAGAGTTCTATTAGATTAGACTTTTGATTTAAACTGATGCTGCTATGCTAATTGATAATTATAAAACAAGAGTTGGGAAATAGCTTAAGTTTCCTTTTCTTGCTATAAGGGGAAACTTCAGTAAAGTTCTTCTGCAATGATCAGAACAACAGGTATCTATTTTAATCAGGATCGAATTTTACTGACGATAGAATTCTGGCCCCTCAGCCATCAGACTGGAAAAAATCAACTTATATCCCCATACCAAAAAAGGGAAATGCGAAAGACTGCTCCAACTTCCGTACAGTGGCCCTTATTTCTCATGCCAGTAAGGTAATGCTCAAGATCCTGCAAGGAAGACTCCAGCAATACATGGAGAGAGAGTTGCCAGATGTTCAAGCTAGGTTTAGAAAAGGCAGAGGAACGAGAGACCAGATTGCCAATATCCGCTGGATAATGGAGAATGGCAGGGAGTTTCAGAAAAACATCTATTTCTGCTTCATTGACTATTCTAAAGCCTTTGACTGTGTGGATCATAATAAATTGTGGCAAGTTCTTGGTGGGATGGGCATCCAAGCCACCTTGTCTCTCTCCTGAGGAATCTGTACAAGGACCAAGTAGAAACAGTCAGAACTGACCACGGAACAACAGACTGGTTCAAGATTGGGAAAGGCGTACGGCAAGGCTGCATACTCTCACCCAACCTTTTTAACTTGTATGCAGAACACATCATGCGATGTGCGGGGCTTGAGGAATGCAAAGCTGGGGTGAAAATTGCTGGAAGAAACATTAACAACCTCAGATATGCAGATGACACCACTCTAATGGCCGAAAGCGAGGAGGAGCTGAGGAGCCTTCTAATCAAGGTGAAAGAAGAAAGCGCAAAAGCTGGGTTGCAGCTAAACATAAAAAAAAACAAGATTATGGCAACAAGAATGATTGACAACTGGAAAATAGAGGGAGAAAATGTGGAGGCCGTGACAGACTTTGTATTTCTAGGTGCAAAGATTACTGCAGATGCAGACTGGCCAGGAAATCAGAAGACGCTTACTTCTTGGGAGGAGAGCAATGTCCAATCTCGATAAAATAGTAAAGAGTAGAGACATCAGACTGGCAACAAAGATCCGCCTAGTCAAAGCCATGGTATTCCCTGTAGTAACCTACAGATGTGAGAGCTGGACCTTAGAGAAGGCCGAGTGAAGGAAGATAGATGCTTTTGAACTGTGGTGTTGGAGGAAAGTTCTGAGAGTGCCTTGGACTGCGAGAAGATCCAACCAGTCCATCCTCCAGGAAATAAAGCCGACTGCTCACTGGAGGGAAGGATACTAGAGACAAAGTTGAAGTACTTTGGCCACATCATGAGGAGACAGCAAAGCCTAGAGAAGACAATTATGCTGGGGAAAGTGGAAGGCAAAAGGAAGAGGGGCCGACCAAGGGCAAGATGGATGGATGGCATCCTTGAAGTGACTGGACTGACCTTGAAGGAGCTGGGGGTGGTGATGGCTGACAGGGAGCTCTGGCGTGGGCTGGTCCATGAGGTCACGAAGAGTCGGAGACGACTGAACGAATGAACAACAACAGCTTTTCTACAATCTCCCAAAGGCCTGGGATTGCAGAAACCACAGCAAGGACAAGAGCTAGGAGCATTCCTGACTCCCTCTTAAAGCCCTGCTTAAGATAGCGGGTGGCGTACTCTTGCGCTAGTTCGTAACTCAATTCTCTGTGACAATGGTTCTGACTGTGACAGTGGTTCCTTATCAGAGTTCAGTTTTCAGTTCGCATTAGCAACTTTTAATTACAATCCAGCAACCAGGTAGTTAGTCATTGCAGGTCTTAATATTATTAACTCCATCCATTTTGCAAAAAATCAACCGAGTGATGGCTTGTATCTCAAAAACCTCATAAATTGGTTTGCTTGTAAGTCACGTTTTCACTGTATACTTATATATCACATAAAAATGTCTTGGGCAAAAAGATGTTGCAAGTTGAAAGAATTTAAGAAGTCCTGCTGTAAAGGAATGTTGCAAGGGTGTCCTGATTTTAATTCTAAAGAGCTTTGATCTTCTTTTCCCCATCCCTGCTCTAGATCCTACCCTAAGTCCTTCCCCAGCAACCTTTTCCCCTGCTCCCAACACCACCCTTTTATATCTGAACCGGACTTACCGCATCCTCAAAAAGCCGCTCAAGTGGCACGACGCTGTGCTTCTCTGTGAGAGCCTCAACGCAAGTCTGGTGAATGTGATGGAGCCATATACCCAGTCCTACCTCACCCAAGCCATCAGCAGTGTGCGTGCCCCACTCTGGATTGGCCTGTCCAACGAAGAGGTGAGACGCCTGTGAGGCCAAGGCATGGGGGAGGCTGGGCTGGTCCTGCTGTGCTGAAAGGCAAAGCCCCCTGCTTCAGTCAGCACTAAGAAGTGGGGGACAAGCAAAGGCATAAATTGTATTTATTTATTTATTTATTTGCTTTACTTCTATACCGCTGTTCTCAGCCTGGAGGCGACTCACAGCGGTTCACAACACACAGGAAACAGCAAAATTCAATGCATCAATATAAAAAAAACAAAGAGATTTTTACAAGTGTCAACTTTGCTGGCTTGGGGGTTTTGTTTTGAGCAAAACTGAAAATATATCACCTGGAGGTGAAGTTTAGATGTTTTCTATGGCTGCATCTACACTGTAGAATTAATACACTGACCATGGCCCAGTTCTATTTGGTAGAGAATGCTAAAGACTGTGTAAAACTACTCCCATGATTCCATAGCACTGAGACATAGCAGTTAAAGTGGTGTCAAACTGCATTAATTTTACAGTGTAGCTGCAACCTGAGTTACAGTCAGTGGCCAGAGTTTCAAAAGCTGAATGTATGTAAGGTTCACTTGGAAGTGAGTCCAAGCTTGACAGCCAGAATCAGAGTTTCATATTGATTGACAGGGAGGGGGCAGGAAGAAAGAAAGAAATGTAATTATAGAACCAATTAACAAGAATGCCTAGAAGTAATTTAAAGTTCCCCTAATTCAAAGCAGATTCCTTTTCAGATAATAATGGATATTTGGCAAATAAACTTGTATTTTGAGCTGCAGGAGGTTGTTTAATTTAATTCATTGTGGATGCTGATATGAAGCAGTGGTACTGTGCTGATACGGCTGTACCAGGAGCTCCCACTTTATTTGCTTTGTATTAAATGTTTGCTTGCAGTCAGGGATTCTGCAGGAAGTTGGCTTCCTTTGGTTGCAGTTATAGGGCAGGCCACCTGTCCATCATCGTTGAGATTTGGTTCCGCCCCTTGCTCAGGGTAATTGGAAAAGGAAGGGAACCATTTTTAGTTAGTCTCAGCAAGGAAAACTAATGTACAGGACGTGTGCAAGCTTCCCCTGTACAAAAGCTTCAACCTTTAAGACTTCCGGGGGAAACAGTCTTAAGAGCACCCAAGGATTCCCAAAGATTCCCAGGGAAACAGCCCTAAAGCTTTGAGGAATTTTGGAGGGAAAAACAGCTTTGAATATCAAAGAACTCCAGCTGAAGAGACGACAGGCCTTGCTGGTAGGTCCACTCGGTGCTTTGAGACGCAGTTCAACCCGGTAGTGGTGCCCACATCAGTTAGGTTTAGGTTCACAGTCAGCCTGGGAGAAGTTAGAAAGGGATTTTCCTTTAAAGTAAAGTAACAGTAGCCACCAGTTGCACAAAAGCCTGGAAGCATTTGTTTAACCTTTTGAAGACAAGAGTAGTTTCTGTTTGATTGTTCCTCAATAAAAGACTTTGTTACATTTCACAAGCCCTCTAAAGACTGTTTGTGGTGGAAAATTCCTGAGAGCTTCTCTTTGGGCCCCCTGGCTTCCTGCTGGGCAAAGGTTGCACGTCCTGTTTTCAAGACAATTCTTTACAGGCCCAGTGCGTGACAGAACAGGTACCTTTTAATTCCTGTACACATTTGTACACATAACATACTACATAATGTACCTGAAATCCTACATCAGAGCATAGTTCTACCCACCCAGTTCCACATATTTTCCTGCTCCTGGCATATGTCAAGCTCTGCAGTTGCGTTTTTGTAGAGGGAGCAAGGAAGAGAATGTAGGCCAGTGATTCTCAACCTTTGGGTACCTAGATGTTTTGGCCTTCAAGTCCCAGAAATCCTAACATTTGGTAAACTGGCTGGGAATTCTGGGAATTGTAGGCCAAAACACCTGGGGACCCACAGGTTGAGAACCACTGATTTAGGCAATCAAGTAGCATCTGGACTCTACTCAATGGTGGAGGTTGTGATGGGGAGAAATAAGGATATGCTTCCAAACAAAGCACACATGTTTCCTTCCCCCGAGAAGCCATAGGCATTCATATCTTCATGGTCTGAATTGTTTCCACCACTTCTCATCACTAAAAAGCAGCAGAAGTAGCTTGCTCCAGGCCTGGACACCTGCTTACAATGTTAATGAGAGGATTTGAGAGCAAGGGGAAGAGAATAGTATAGAATGTTTGTGTCACTAATAGAATGCCAGAGTGTGTGTTTTATTTTTTAATGGTCTCAACGCAATTTTTGGAAACAATATTCCTTAAATCCCATTATGGGCCTTTTTGCTTGTTGTTGTTATTGTTGGGGTGAAATGACTGGAAAGAAACTGGATGGAAAGGCAGCTGAAAACGGAATATTCTCCCTATTACTCCCTGCGGCCCCTACCCACCTCTTTTAGATCCAGGAGATGTCCTTTTTTTCAAACAGAAAACACTCCTGGTTTTGAAGAAAGACTTTTCATTGGCCTTAAACAAGCGGGAAGAATTGTTCCTTTTTAGCGCCTATCTGGTATCGGGGCTTATAATCTATATAAGTAAAAATGTAATGTTCGTTTGTGGGATAAACATAACTCAAAAACCACTGGACGAATTGCTGCAAAATCTGGCCACAAGACACCTACTAACCCAACGAGTGACCATCACTCAAAAAATTGAGTTTGTCATTTGGGAGTTGTAGTTGCTGGGATTTATTGTTCATCCACAATCAAAGAGCATTCTGAACTCCACCAATGATGGAATTGAACCAAACGTGGCACACAGGACTCCCATGACCAACAGAAAACACTAGAAGGGTTTGGTGGGCATTGACCTTGAGTTTGGGAGTTGTAGTACACCTACATCCAGAGAGCACTGTGGACTCAAACAATGATGGATCAGGACCAAACTTGGCACAAATATTCCATATGCCCAACTAGGAACACAGATGGAGCTTGGGGGAAATAGAGCTTGACATTTGGGAGTTGTAGTTACTGGGATTTATAGTTCACCTACGATCAAAGAGCATTGTGAACCCCACCAATAATAGAATTGGAGCAGACTTCCCACACAGAACCCCTATGACCAATAGAAAATATTTAAGGCCATCCAGTCCAACTCCCTTCACCAGGGTAAGAAAACGTAATCAAATACTGTTTACCCATAAGCATAAAGAAATTACATATATTAGAAACCAACACTTTCTCATTACTTTATTTTCCAGATCACCAGACTGGGCCACAGCAATGTGTGGCAAGGGACAGCTAATGTTAAATAAAATGAGATTATTGCAGGCATGTTGTGGTCTGCAGTTGGACTCTGAGAGGCCCAGGCAGACTACAGACTGCAGTTGGCCTACCTCTGATATACTGCGACCATGTTTTGAACCAAATTGGGTGCAACATGCCCCCCCCCCATTATTACACGCATCACCCTTCAGATTCTGAATATGAACTACCCTTGTGTATCTCTTTGGCCTAATTAGTGGATCTTTTATTTGCATTGGTTGCTTTTAGGGACGGCGGAGCTATGTGTGGTTCACAGAGGAGAGCCTTTCCTACTCAAACTGGCAGGATGGAGAACCACAACAACTTATAGGATGCACGTACATGGATGTAGATGGGACATGGAGAACGGCTAACTGTGATTCCAAGCTGCAAGGGGCCATCTGCAGGATGAATGAAGGTGAAGTATATGCACAGGAATTTAACAGAGACAGGAGAGGAGGTGAAAGAGGGGAGCATTCTCTCCCTGTCAGCTTGAATGAAGAACTCAGAAATTCTGACTTACCCAGAATTCCTTTTTAAGGACCCATTTCTTCTCACAAGTGGAGCTACAATGGGAGCTGTCCTAAATCGGTGGATGATTCTTCCTGGATCCCTTTTCGGAATCATTGCTATGCCTTCCACATGGAAGCTGTGATAGGCCAGAAAGAAGCTATGAAGAGGTGTCAGAAAGGTAAAGATTTCTGAAAGGTGCAACTTCAGTGTTGGGTTATTGCGGGCATAATGTGAATAAGATCTACTCTCCAGAATATGATTTCCAACATTTCTGACTTTGAAGATGTCTGCTTCAGCCCTATTTATCTTTTTTTTTGGGGGGGGGGGGAGCGGGGTTGCCTTTGCTTTGTCTCTGCCTTTGCTTTCATTCATTCATTAACTCTTTCATGCATTCTTCCATTCTTTCTTTGGTGTAGTATGGATTGCTGCTTACCCATTCCTCCAGTTAGGTAGTTGGACATCTACTTAGGTGAGAAAGCAGAAAATACCAAGGTGTGGCGAAGGAGAGAGACTATTTCTTTATTAATAAAAACCTCTTTACTGCCTTATACTGATTCAGTTTCTTCTTTTATATTGGCTGGGACTTTCTGTGTGCTGTCAAACCTTTGTGCTTTATGTCACAGGCAATGAAACACTCTTGTATATAACTAAGTAACACAGTTTATTTATAACTTCTGGCTCCAACGCTTGTGGTTACATTTGTGTTTTGTTGCTATCTTGAGGCTTACAGTCAGTATCATTTACTTGGTTTACTTTTCTGAATAAACTTTCAATGTTTCACATTCACAAACATGTTACTTGCTTTACACATTCTTGGCTGAATTATATTCTGAACTAAAGTAACACTAGCCTTCTTTATGTTCCTTAAAACTCAAGCTCTATTTAACTAACTGCTTCTCTATATCAGAAGTCTTTAACACATCTTCATAACTGCTTATTTCTAACAGGCACTCAAAAACCAACTTCACACACAGATTCCTCCTCTTCACACACAGATTCCTAACTGTCATTTTCAAACTCTCTCACTCTAACTGCCTCTTTTCAAAACCTTGGCTCCGCCCCTTTGGAATGTTCAGCTCTGCTCTCCCCAACTGTCATTTTGGCCTAGCAGCCTTTTCAAATCCTGGGCCTACGCTAATCTGCATATGACCAATCGGCTTCACATATGCGAATGAATCCTATCTCTGTTGTTGCTACCCTGTCTGTACCTATTTTTCCCTATCTGCCATATGTAAACATAGAGCTATACACCAAAAATTTAACATAGAGTAGCAATTTTGCTACACAAGGCCTTGAGAGCATGGTACATTCTATCATGGAGAATAACTAAATCAGTGGGTAGAAAGCAATATCCTTCCCTCTCCAAACCATTCCAATGTGCTGCAAAAAGGCTTTAATAACTGCAAAAATAAGACTGTGATCACATATAGTCCATAGATCACACTTTACCCACACTATAGTAAAAATATTGGCTGGCATCTCATTAGTGACACACTCATTTTAAAGCTAAGCCTATATATTCATGTGTTTATTTCTGGCCCCTGCAGAGTTTGATGTTCTCTCTCTGCAGTCACCAAAGCTGCAAAGGGAGGAATAGGATAGAAATCCCTATCCTGCCGGATGGAGAGAGAGGTGGGATGGGGGTTGCAGAAATTGCTGTTCTCTATCCCAACCGCTACTGTTATGGCCCTGGAGGGAGATAAGAGCAGTCAACTTCTGCTGAACTTAATCTACTCCCACACTTCCAACCTCTTTGCCTTGTGTTTTATGTCTTTTAAAATTGTAAACCTAAGGGCAAAGGAATGTCAAATTACCCTGAGGGGACAACGCCTTCAGGAGCAATATGGTAGATTCGATGTTGGTAAATGCGGTTAGTTCTGCATAAGGAACAGCTGTGCTGAACTGTGTCATGCAGAATTGCATCTGTTGTGTGTGCACATGTATTTTTTTTGTCAAGTCAGGAGAAACTTGAGAAACTGTAAGTCACTTCTGGTGTGAGAGAATTGGCCGTCTGCAAGGACGTTGCCCAGGGGATGCCCGGATGATTTGATGTTTTTATCATCTTTGTGGGAGGCTTCTCTCGTGTCCCCACATGAGGAGCTGGAGCTGATAGAGGGAGCTCATCCGCCTCTCTCCAGATTCGAACCTGTGACCTGTCGGTCTTCAGTCCTGCTGGCATAGGGGTTTAACCCTCTGCGCCACCGGGGGCTCCTGCACATGTATGCGTTTTTAAAAATAGATTGCATGAGTGAGCGAGTAAGCATGTGTATTTGTTTCAGGTTAGTAAACATGAATCAGGTTACTTTACTTTAAATGTGAGCAAGATGAAATTCTTGATCATCTTGTGCTATGTTATATATAGTGTAGATCCATATAGTATGTGAGGAATCCATTTTAAGACTGCTTGCAATATGATCTTTATGTATAATCCAGAATCCTATTTTGCTTACTTGAAATTACACACAATGGCTATATGATTGGGTAACTAATGTTATTCTTTTTATTGTGTGTTTATGGTTTTATATTGTCGTTACATTGTGATATTGCGGCATCGAATTGTTGCCAGTATAGCTGCTCTGAGTCCCCCCCCTTAGGGATTGAGAAGGGCGAGGTAGAAATGTTGTAAATAAATAAATAAATAATATTGTCGAAGGCTTTCATGGCCGGAATCACTGGGTTGCTGTAGGTTTTTTCGGGCTATATAGCCATGTTCTAGAGGCATTATCTCCTGATGTTTCACCTGCACCTATGGCAAGCATCCTCACTACCTCTGAGGATGCTTGCCATAGATGCAGGCAAAACGTCAGGAGAGAATGCCTCTAGAACATGGCTATATAGCCCGAAAAACCCAACAACAACCCAAATAAATAATAAGTACTGTCTTGTACTCCCAGCAAAGCATACCATAGAATTGCACTGGAGAACTTAAACAGATTCCCAGATAAGTGATTGCTCTTAAGCTTTCTATGGCCAACTTCCAGTGGATATAGAATCTTCCTGGATGCCAAGAGAGAACATTTCTTCAGACGTTACTGGGCCCTCCAATGCAATTTTATGATATTCAAAGCTCTTTATGTATAACTGAGCAAATATTAAACAAGCTTGTATAACTTTCGAGCCTATTGCCAATATTTTTGTAGATATGTGTATTTTTTATATCTATGTGTGCATGTTTATATGCACACTTACACGTACAGTCAGGAATGCTGATATACAGACAAGAGATGTCTTGGGGGAAAGGAATTAGATCTACTGTATCTTGTGAAAACTGGACATGGCCTGAGATGTATTGACTGAAAGCAGGAAAAAATGTGTGCCAATGATATGTTTTTATGTGCAAACACTAAAGTCGGGGTGACATATGCAAATTCCACTGCCTTTTTGTTTGCGTTTTCAGTTTGTATTTTCGGTTTTACTCTATTGTAATTTGTTGTTTGGGCTTGGCCTCATGTAAGCCGCTCCGAGTCTCCATTGGGGAGATGGTGGCGGGGTATAAATCAAGATGATGATGATGATTATTATTATTATTATTTCTAGAATGTTCCTCTCTTTCCAGAATGCTATCTGGGTAGAGTACAAGACATTAACAGTGTGGAGGTCAAAAGTTCACAGGTTTCTTATGGTACATTCATCTAGATATCACAGTTGTTCAAGATGTAGTCTTCCCCTCCAGTATCCGTGCTAAGAGTCAAATCAATAAAATGCAACCCATCATTTCTCTTGTCTCACAGTGTTTGCCTGACCCCATCCACCCATGAATCCAGAAGCATGTGAACACATGTGTTTTTATGACAAAATGTGCATATGACAAGGATATGTTTCTCAATGGTATAATGCAACAGCAGCTGAGAATCACTCCAAGTGAAGTGTAAACGTGTGAGCAAGCTGTGCTCTTCTTGCCTTATTGACCTTTCAGGGTGGTGTATCTCTTTCCTCTCCCATCCCCACAGTTGGAGGCTCAGTGCTGTCCATCCTGGATGAGATGGAGAACGTCTTCATTTGGGAGCATCTGCAATATTCTGGGGGCCAGTCCAAAGGAGCCTGGCTGGGGATGGCCTTTAACCCCAAAGGTACATGAATGTTCTTCTACATTGATTGTCACATTGTTAATTGTACAACAGGGCAAAACAAAAAGAAGTGTGGAGAGTGATACTGTATGTGTAGATTATCTGTAAACCGAGGAGCAGTCAAGTCTCCCAACAAGCTAACTTTTACATGTATATGGGCCAGTTTCATTCTAGTTAGGTGAATGATCAGTAACAGTGTGGTCACAAATATAGGCTGATGAATGTTTAAAAAATAATAGTGTCATGAATGACTTTTCAATGACATTGAAGCATAGGTTCTTTTTATGGCAATTTCCAGTGTGAGAAGGTATATCAGATTACAGAAAAACATTTAGACAAAGAATGACATTGGACATATAGACATACAGATTCTATGCAACTACATTGGATTTTACAATTACATTGGTTAACAAACAAACAAAGGGGAATTATATTTTCACTCAGCATTCACACACATGTACATGCATTCATCCACATGCATCCAAATATTACCATATCCTTTTCTCCCTCCTTGGAGAAGCATCCGTTAGGCCAGACCCTGCTTTCCTGCAGCTTACCAACGTATAGTTCCATAACTCCATAACTTTGAAACACTGAAATGCCAAAACTTCTTCCCTAAGCACAATGCCAAGGACCAGATCTCTGTTTTCCATACAGCAGAACCTGACTCCCTGCACAAAATCTAAGACTCCAAAAGCGCACTTCTTCCTCTTCCCTTGAGAAAGAAGCCCCAAAGTGACCAGACTGCTCCCTTGCAAATCTGCCACTCTCCATAGGTACACTATCTCTCTCCTTCCCATGGAGCAGAGCATAGCAGGTGAACCAGACTCCTCAGGTCTGTCACACTTTGAGCATTATTAGACTGAGTCTTTTATAGGAATATTCTGTTGATGTAGTCCCAAAGTTGTAAATTAATGATAGACGTCTTCCATCCTGGATCCAGTTTCCTGGCCAGATGTTGACTCTTCTTGATTGGTGTTGATCTTATGTTGACTTCCTTCTTAACATAAGGAATGTTTCAAACATTTCATTAACTTGAAAGAACCATTATCACAGTTCTTATCAATACTCATTAGCAGGTTTTGATCACAGTGCCAGCAAGCAGGTAGTTAGTCATTGCAGGCCTTAATATTATACTGGTGTTTCCCAAATTATTAGCTCCATTCATACATCCTTCCATTCTTCCATTCATTCCCACACATCATATTAAATTCACATTTATCAAATCTGCACATTGGATTTCTTATTACAATAGGTTCCTGCTCAGTGTGGTTTAGAATCAATAGTTGGAATTATGAAGGCTTAGGGATAGTGCCAAACCTTCATGAAACATATGGTTTGCATGATGGAGCTGAAGGAAGAATAATTTTCTGGGTGGAGTCATTTGGAGGACCAGGAGACCACTGGGAATGGTTAGATTGGAATAACAAATAATCATAAATGGGGATGCATCATGTGTAATAGTAAAGAGAAAAGGAGAACAAAAATGAGGACCTTGTCCTGCATTTGGGACCAGTAGGAAAGTGTAATCATTTCGTAGATGTGTCCAAAACAACCAAGACAAATGGTTTTGGTAGTAGATGGCTAGAGTAGGTGAGAAGATTCAGGATTCTAGTTAGAGAGCAGTAAATGAGAGAGGCAGTTGTAGTTTTTGAGAGGATGAAACCAGAGAGGAAGGGTCATGTTTTTCTGAAGTTGTAAAGAGAGGAACATTATTCTGTGACAAGAAATTTGTCAGACGTGCTAGAAAATCCAGGAGATCCTATTCTGCACTTAACCAGGTTTTTTTCCATGTCAGGAGTGACTTGAGAAACTGCAAGTCGCTTCTGGTGTGAGAGAATTGGCCGTCTGCAAGGACATTGCCCAGGGGATGCCAGGATGTTTTGATGTTTTTATCATCCTTGTGGGAGGCTTCTCTCATGTCCCTGCATGAGGAGCTGGAGCTGATAGAGGGAGCTCATCCGCACTCTCCTCGGATTTGAACCTGACCTGTCGGTCTTCAGTCCTGCCAGCACAAGGGTTTAACCCACTGCGCCACCGGGGGCTTAATCAGTTGACAGCATCTTACTTGAGATGTTTCTACTGTGCTTCCTTATGGTTCTTCTTTGCTGTTTTTATTTTAGTTTCTTGTGGGATGGTTTTTGGTGAGGGACGGAGTTTTATATAACCGGATTTTGCAAGTCTGATCACTGTTAAGTCAAAAAACTTGCACACTGTAAACATAGATGCCTTGAAGAACCAAAAGCCAAGATGTAAAAACGAAAAAGCTATCTCTGTACTAATCCCTAGGATCTCTGCCTGGGAGGCCAGAAAAACAACATACACAGCAGGCTTCCCTTATCAGCAGCATGCACAAACTCTTGCACAAGATAAAGCTCCCAAAGTGAATCATTCTTCCTTTTTTATTGAATTTATATCCTGCTCCCCCCCAAGTCAGGTTATAATAATTTTAAAAGATGTGACTAAAACATTAACATACAAGGGTTAAAAAAGAATTATGTGTCACTATTATTTAAAGCATGTTTAAAGACAAAAAACACTCAAAGCATATTTAAAACAGTGTTAATAAAATACTTGAAAAATAGCACGCTTCAGATCCATAATTAAAATTTAAAATTCAAATGGTTGACTAAAGAAAAAAGAAGTCACTGGCAGAAAGAGAGCAAGATGGGGGCCAACTGAGTCTTTCATGGAAGGGAGTTCTGCAGTCTAGGAGCAGCTATGGAGAAGATTCCTTCCCAAGTGTTCAGTCTCCTCACATATGAAGATCCAAGCCATGCAAGGCTTTAAAGATCAGAAGTAGGACTTTGAATTCTGCCCAGAAATAGACCAGGATGCAATGTAGCTTTTTCAACAGGGGAGTCACATAATCCCTGTACCCAGCCCCAGTCAAAAACTGAAGTTTCCAGATGGAGCCCCTTATAGACTGCATTACCTTAGGATGCAATTGAGGCATGAGTCACCATAGTGACTTTCCAAGAGTCCACTTCGTGATATAATACTGGTATAATTCCTACAGACACCAGCATATGAATTTTGATCTTGTAGGACTTAACTGTGCTCCCTCGTATAATACCCCTCCCAGATGTTGCCTCCACATTGGAATGAGTTTGTGTGCATTCTGACTGTCCTTTGTGATCAAAGAGTAAAAGGAATATCCTTGTTCTAGGGGTGGAGGTTACTCTTTCTTTCCCAGGTGCACCACAAAAGTCAATATTGACACTGAAATTCAACACTGCCTGAGCTCTGTGAGTGCAGCATTTTTCCGAATGAAGCAGAGAGTGTTTGAGGACTGGGACATCCATAGGGAAAACAAGGTGCTTGTTTATGAAGCTATTGTCCTCCCAACCCTGCTTTATGCCTGCGAGACGTTGACAGTCTACAGACGTCACATGCAACTCCTGGAACGATTCCATCAGGGCTGCCTCCGAAAAATCCTGCAAATCTCTTGGGAAGACAAGCGAGACAAACGTCAGTGTGCTGGAAGAAGCAAAGACCACCAGCATTGAAGCGATGGCCCTCTGCCATCAACTCCGCTGGACCGGCCACGTTGTCCGGATGCCCGACCACCGTCTCCCAAAGCAGTTGCTCTACTCCAAACTCAAGAACAGAAAACGGAATGTTGGAGGACAGGAAAAGAGATTTAAAGATGGGCTCAAAGCCAACCTTAAAAACTCTGGCATAGACACTGAGAACTGGGAAGCCCTGGCCCTTGAGCGCTCGAGCTGGAGGTCAGCTGTGACCAGCAGTGCTGCAGAATTTGCCAAGAGGAAGGCACGTCAAGCCAACCCACACTGGGACTGCCTTCCACCTGGAAACCGATGCCCTCATTGCAGGAGAACATGCAGGTCAAGAATAGGGTTCCACAGTTACCTACATACCCAACGCCAGGACACTACACTTGGAGGACCATCATCCTCGGACTACGAGAGATCATCTAAATGGAAAAAATGGTAGTTGGAACATACCCAGAAGCTTTATTGTTGGACAGTGACCAGTGAGTTTGAGCTGCCCCATGAGTCTCCTGAGAGTTATTGCTCACTCGGGGAAGAAGTGATGGAGAAGCGTCTTCTCTCTCCCAAAAATGGTGTAAATATTGTGTTCCACCAGCATGCCTGCTGGATTTTTAGCCCTTTCCTCTTTCCCACTAGACCATTGCTTCATAGACTGTGGGGCCACAACCCCAAATGGCCCTTTGCTCAGTGTTGGGGTCCCAAAATTGGGCAACAGTAAAAGTTTTCTGAACCTCACCTTGTAGTTGTTTTAGACATTTACACAAATCAGCTGTGCAAGCTTTACAGTGGACTCTGTACTAAAAAGAGAAGTCAGCTTTTTATCAAGCCTTGCAAATGCTGTTTAATTATCAATAAATGTTTGGTTTTAATACTTACTTTATATAAGCATAAAATAATGTAAAACTTCATCAAGTGGAAAGGGGTCCCGAGTGGAAACATTTGAGAAGTCCTGCATTAGATATGATGTCATCTCTGCAACTTGATTCCTAGCATACTTTGTGGCAGAGTAGTTTGAGGAAATGGATCTGAAATAAATGTTTTGTATAATTTGCTGCATAGATCTGATACATTTTTCATGCTGAAGCACTTTCTCACTCATCCCGTCTCTCACCTACAGACTATTTCTCTCTTCTCTGCAGGGGGGACACTCGTCTGGCATGACAACATGGCTGTCAATTATTCGAACTGGGGGCAGCATGACACGGGACCGAGCATGCTCAGCCAAAACAGCTGCTACTGGATCCAGAAGAGCAATGGGGTTTGGCATTTGGGCTCCTGCTCCAATGTCACGATGGGGGTCATTTGCAAGACTGCTCGAGGTAAGCAGGGTAACTGAAACACTTAGAGTGAAGTAGCAGGGTTGGCCTTCTCTCTAATGCTCAGGAATCTCGCTTCTGCATGAGAGAATAAGATCGGTGATGAGGTTTATTTATTTCTATACTGTTGTGAGGAGAAACAACAAAATATCTAGTGTTATTCTCACAACAATCTGTGAGACTGGTTAGATGGGTAAGAAGGAAGAGACTAGTTAAATGGGTAAGAAAGTCACTTAGTAAATGTTGGGTCTCCATGTGGATTTGGTGAGGTGAACAGATGACTGACCAGGTTAAATGTAGACCTGAATTAAATTATTGGATGATATTTTCATCAGTTGATTGCTGCTATGTTTTGTCTTACATGAGTCAGGCAAAAACTTACATTGTACTAGTAGAGGCTTTTGTAGGAATCTGCACAGCTTTGCAAATTCATTGAATTCTTCATACATTGGACTGGAAAGAGCTTCCAAGGAGAGAGGATATATGGAAAGTGAGAGCTGAGTTAGATAAGCTTAATCTTTTGCATTCTCCCTTTTGAAGAGTTCTATACACATTGGACATGTTGCATATGTTTCTAAGATGATTCCATAAAAAGGAATGTATTTGTTCTTAGTAGTAAAGAGGAAAAAATTAAAGACCGAAGTAATTATTTAAATGTCATTAGTTTGGATTGTTCCACCACCTAGCAAGTAGACAAGTATGATTAGGGTGGAAATGAGATATATGGATGATAATAAAGCCATATCTGATAAGGGCTGTTGAAATCACTGCCACAGTGTGTAGACATGGATGTATTGTTGTTGTATTCGGGCATTGAATGTTTGCCTTTTATGTTTGGAATCTGCCCTGAGTCCCTTTGGGGAGATAGAGTGGAATATAATAATAATAATAATAATAATAATAATAATAATAATAATAATTATTATTATTATTATTTGAAACACAACAAGATGAGTCCACAGCAGACACTCCACTGGCTGTTGAATTGGATCACATATCGGACGCTTCCCAAGTGTCTAGGACTGTGTGATGTATCGGCGAATAATGCGTGCAAATCCCAGTAAGGTGGCCTTCTGCAGCTGGCAGATGGTAATTTTGTCAGCCGATTGTGTTTAAGTGCAGGCCAAGGTCTTTAGGCACTGCACCCAGTGTGCCGATCACCACTGGGACCACCTTTACTGGCTTGTGCCACAGTCTTTATTATTATTATTATTATTATTATTATTATTATTACTAGCTGTCCCCTGCCACGCATTGCTGTGGCCCAGTCTGGTGATCTGGAAAATAAAGTAATGAGAAAGTGTCAGGAGGACTCTGATTATGCTTTCTTGCCCTGGTAAAGGGAGTTGGACTGGATGGGCTTAAGTATTTTCTCTTGGTCATGGGGGTTCTGTGTGGGAAGTTTGCCCCAATTCTTTTGTTTGTGGGATTCAGAATGCTCTTTGATTGTAGGTGAACTATAAATCCCAGTAACTACAACTCCCAAATGTCAGTGTCTATATCCCCCAAACTGTGTTCATATTTGGGCATATGAAATATTTGTGCCAAGTTTAGTCCAGATCCATCATTGTTTGAGTCCACAGTGCTCTCTGGATGTAGGTGAACTACAACTCCCAAACTCAAGGTCAATGCCCACCAAACCCTTCTAGTGTTTTCTGTTGGTCATGGGAGTCCTGTGTGCCATGTTTGGTTCAATTCCATCATTGGTGGAGTTCAGAATGCTCTTTGATTGTAGGTGAACTATAAATCCCAGCAACTACAACTCCCAAATGACAAAATCAATTTTTTTGAGTGAAGGACATACATTGGGTTGTTAGGTGTGTGCTGTCCAAATTTGGTGTCCATTGGCCCACTGGTTTTTGAGTTCTGTTAATCCCACAAACGAACATTACATTTTTATTTATATAGATGATGATGATGATGATGGTGATGATTAGGCATGCTTGCCAACATAGATGGCTTTAAAAGGAGATTTAAATAAATAAAGTGAGAGTGGTACTATTAATAGTCAGAACAGTAATGCACCATGCTGGTTTATGTCATACTGTGTGTGTAAGATGGAGAAAAAAGTCACACTCCAAGTCTGCTCGTGAGTTTTTTATAAGCAAGTGATTGGGCACCATGTGAATAAAATGTCATACCAGTGAGGCTATTGAGTTGATCCAGTATGGCTATGCTTACAGCAGGGGTGTCAAACTCATTTTCAGTGATGTCTTACGATTGACTTCCAAGGGTAATTTGCAATTGTAAGCCTGTATAAATGTAACTGTGCTGCCTTGGCATTGAAAGCCTTGTGGGCCAGATAAACTGACAGGCCAGATTTGGCCTGTGGTCCTTGCGTTTGACACATGTGGCTTATAGGAATTCAAGGAATGCAAGCATGGTTGAACTCAATATGAAATGTCTTGAAAGCATTGTCTAATTAACTGAGCAATAAGTCAAACTGTACTGGAGACACATGACTAAGTTTGTTTTTTCTCTCTCCCTGGCTGTGCTTTCTTGAATTTGTTTTATCATGGCAGTGGAAGAAAACCGCCTCTCCAGTTCAGGTATGTATCAACTGGAAAGTGAACATTTTGCTTCATTGTAGGTCTGCTCCCCCTAAACTCCAGACCTGAAATTGGATCAGTTAGTTTGTTAATCTGACTGTAAACCCAGGGTTTTGCGTATTCTGCATTATGTATGTGGCAATAAATTAGAAGCAGCAGTGCTTAAGCAGGCAAGCCTCAATTACAGTGGATAATGAAAACTGAGGCAGTTGACCTCTATAATTGTGCTTACAAAACACCCCGACCCTTACAATTTGTTACCCTACTCCTTTACCACACTGTGTTGGTGAAGCACCCTGGATTATGATCACATAAGTCAGACTTACAGTTTGGGAGGATGTAACTAGGAATCTCCAAGCATCATGTCCCAAGATTGTCTGCACACCGCACCTATCTCCAAAAACCTATCAATTTCACCGGTCATGTCCAGCATTTTTTTAAATTTTTAATCATTACATTTGGCCTGGCCTTAGTTTTAAATGCGTCGTGGTGTTACTAAGGTTTATTGCTATTGTTTTAATGTTTATTGCTTGTTTTATGAGTTTATTTATGAGTTGTATTTTGTGAGTTGTATTTTATTTTATGAGTTGTATTTTGTTATGCTGTTGTTTTCTTGATGTGTTGGGCCTCGGCCTCTTGTAAGCCGCACCAAGTCCTTCAGGAGATGTTAGCGGGGTATAAATAAATGTTTATTATTATTATTATTATTATTATTATTATTATTATTATTATTATTATTAACTACATTGGGTGATTTAGCAGAAATACCTAAGTGATAGCTGTAAAGATCTTGACTGTAATCAGTAATACATAGGGTGCTGATGGGAAGCTGATGGAGAAATATAGTAAACCTATCATCTCTATCACATGCAAAGAAATAACATATAAAAAGAAATTCAAATTAAATCCAGATTTCTATATCATGCAGATTCAGTCATAAATTTGAAACCAAATAGATAAATCTCAGTGCAACATTTGGATGGAGACTGTTCAGATTAGCAATGTATATTAGGGAGTTGATACCCTCACCCAAACAAATGTTTTCACCCTCTTGCACAATTTGCACAGAAAATTCGTTTTGCAAACTTTACATGAAATATTTCTGTATAATATATCTCTAACACAAAATGTCTTCTCATAATCTAATTTTGTGCCCTCCAAAAAAAATCAAGTGTGCAAAAGTTGCTTCCCAGGTAAAGAGGGTTCAAGTGAAGACTCTTCACATCAATTAAAGTTCCTCCTTTTGAAATCCACATGACAAGAATGTTCCTACGTCAATTGTCTGCCTATAATTCTTCACTTACATTCGCCAAAAGTATAGCTAGTGATGTTAGTTAAACGGTTCGGACCCTGCCTATCTTCGCGATCGCATCTCCCTCTATGAACCGACGCAAACTCTAAGATCCTCCGGGAGGCCCTCCTCTCGCTCCCACCTCCGTCACAAGCATGGTTGGTGGGGACGAGAGAGAGGGCCTTCTTGGTGGTGACCCCCCACCTCTGGAATGCCCTTCCAAGTGAAATAAGACAGACCCCATCCCTCCCCTCTTTTCATAAAGACTTGGTGGTTTCAACAAATCTTCGGGAGTGACCAGTGCTAGCTCAGCCAAGACACTGTCCGGACATGACCTAGCCCCCTATATATTACCCTGGTCATTCTCCTAACAGGCCCCTGGAAATAGCCCGTCCCTGCTTTTGTCTTTTACCTATTACAGTACTGTACCCAAATGCCGGTCCCATCTTATTTCAATTTGTATTAGTCTTGACCAAATCTTTTTAATTGTCCTGACCCATTCCTTTTCCATGTCCTAACAAATAGACATGAAGAGCAGGCAGGATTTTTTCTTTTAATGTTTATGTGTTGTTGTGTAATTCCAACAACTGTTGCTGTTACTGTTATTTTTTTTTCATTTTTCATTTACATACTGTTATTTTTTGTTCATGTTGTGACTCTGTATGTTTTGATGCTGTTGCTTGGAAACCGCCCTGAGTCCCCCCCAGGGAAATAGAGCAGTATATAAATACATTTTATATTATTATTATTATTATTATTATTATTATTATTATTATTATTTCTGTGCTCACCTTTCTATGAATTGTACTCTTCCACTAAAGTGGGCCTTTCTTCCTTGTCCTTCTTTTTCTTCTACAGCTTTCTTGGAGAACACAAAGGCCATTGCAGTGGTCATCCTCTCTTCCTTAGCACTGTGTGCACTGATAGCTATTATTGCTGTCTATCTGTACAAACGGCGGTGGAGTTCAGAGCGAGGGACATTTGAAAGCGCTCGCTACAGCCGTACCAACTCCAACCCTAGTGAATCTGCTGAGAAGAATATCCTAGTGTCTGATATGGAGATGAATGAACAACAGGACTAATGGTGGAAGTGTTGACCATTGGGGTGGGTGGGGAGGGAGAACAGGGAAGGGAGGGATGTGAGTATCTGGCATACATACAATCTCAAAAGTAAGCCCCTGACGAGAGCAGAGAGCAACAGTAAGATTACTGCAGTGGGGTAGGAAGATGGGACAGCAAGACACTAAAGAGATGTGGAGAAATACAATATTTTTTTTATTTTGGGAGCCCTAGACCAGGGGTCCTCAAACATTTTAAACAGAGGGCCAGGTCACAGTCCCTCAAACTGTTGGAGGGCCGGATTATAATTTGAAAAAAAAAACCACGAATGAATTCCTATGCACACTGCACATATCTTATTTGTAGTGCAAAAAACAGTTAAAACAATACAATAATTAAAATGAAGAACAATTTTAACAAATATAAACGTATTAATATTTTAATGGGAAGTGTGGGCCTGATTTTTACCTGATGAGATAGTTGTGTGCTTTCAAGTCGTTTTAGCCTTAGGTTGACCCTGAGCGAGGGCCGGGTAAACGACCTTGGAGGGCCGTATTCGGCCCCCGGGTCTTAGTTTGAGAACCCCTGCCCTAGACCATGTCTGTACGATCCCAAAACAAAACAAGACATGGCCTTGTAATTCTGTCATTCCTGGAGAGGTGGTGGTTTCCTTCTCCCCTCGCTGGATACCAACACAACCATCTCCACATCTCCTTAGAGAATGAAATCCAAGCATTTCTCCTGGTTATAATGCCAAAACAAGAAAGGGCCTCACTGTTTTGGTAAGAACCTGACTTTGTTGTATTGCATCACTCCTTAGAGCCATGTGGTTGATTAAAAAGTGAAAGGCCCTTGAATGCCTATTAATGATGGCGCTTCTATTCTCTGATGTTGAGAAATCACAAGAACAATGTCTTCTCCAACCGCAATACTGCTATAACCACCGTTCTGCTGTCACATTTTGTTGTCATAGAGGGTTTTCCTGCAAAAATGTGGAAATGGCACCATAGATCCTTTCACAGCTACAAGGGACCTCTCAATGAGAGAAACACATAGCTGCTTCGAGCTTGATGGAGGAAACAGGAATGCTGCTATTTGCTTCTTTTTGAAACAGAGTTGGCCAGCAAAACCCATCCAAATGAAGGAGCTCAGTTTGCTAAATTGTCCCCTCTGAACAATGCTGTGGGCAGTTCACAAAATGACTAGTGTGAGGTTGTCATCCTCCTGCTAGTTATTGACAGGCGCTATCCAGAAGGTGCAGGGATAACATAATAATCCAAATATTCATAGAAAAAAAATGAGCTAGCTGCACTGGAGTAAAGTCTGCATGTGCCAAGAAAGAAAGAAATGATTCAAGCTCTTAGCAAATGCATTGTGCCCAAAACAGAGGGACAAAAACTATGATAAACAGGAAAGAAATGCCTATCTTTTGCACAAAAAACCACATTGCATAAAGGCCCTCAGAACATCTGTATATTGGTGAAAAAATAATATGCTAATGTTTTTCTCCTTCTCAAAAAAAAAAGCATTTTGTTGTTGCCTTGCTGGATAAGAGGTATAAATAACTTGGGTTTTTGGTAGCCATCATGCACACTGTATCAAAGTGCATGCTGACAATCACTTGTGTTGAGTGGGGAAAGATATTTTTTGTCTTGACAGAGTTGATGCACAAAGCTCTACAATGTTTCCCTCCAACACACTTTCTTTTTTCATCATTTGAAGAAGTGTAACAGGACACTTGGTGTTTCTGGAACAGCATATAATTTTGCTAGCCAATTCCAGCTACTCAGAGCCAATAAGAGATTGTAAACCTAATGCAGTGCCCTTTTTATGAAAGAAATGTGGGATGAAGATAACTTTGTGTGGACCAGGGACTCCACAAGAGGCAATCCCTTTCCCCCCTTTGCTTCCAATGAAATAAGTTGGAAAGGTGGCTATGACAATGAATGGATAGGTATTTTTGCTACTCAAGTAATTATTGGAATTATTTTATAGGGGAAAAAAAATCTAGTGATGTTCACTTAAGCTGGATATTAAGTGTTTGTAAAAAATGTTTACCATTGTCTCTAAGTAACTGAAAAGTGCCATAAGTGCCCATAATATGAGTTGTTTCACAGACAATCTTAACTTTTTGAATTCCTTTGCTTTTCTTTCATAATTGCTGCTTGTTGCCTGTTTTTTGTTTGTTTTGTTTTGCTTCAGACAAAGTTATATATAGACATCTTGAATTTGCCCAACATTTGTTCTGCTCAGGGGATCCTTTCCAGGGGTTAATCTGAATGAGCTTCAAGCCCTGGTCTCCATTCCATACTAGGGTTCTACCTTGGAGTATGTGAAGTTATGGTGCCTTTGAGTACGTTTGCTTGTCTCTTTCTAATGAGGAGCCGTAGGTAAATTTCACATGTTACAATGTGATGACATGATCAGTAAGAAATGTACAATAATGTTACATGTCAGTTGGGGTGCAGATGTGTGGGAATGGAAATTAGGGCATTGCCCCCTATGTTCTCCAATGAAATGCTCCAAAATGCATTGCAGCAACCTGAAATGTCAGTTGAGCATCGAGAAAGACAGTATAGGCCAGTGGTTTTCAAGCTGGGGTCCCCAGATGTTTTTGGCCTTCAACTCCCAGAAATCCTAAACTGGCTGGGATTTCTGGGAGTTGTAGGCCAAAACACCTGGGGACCCACAGGTTGAGAACCACTGGTATAGGCATTCAAAGAAAAGGGACAAGCAAAGTTAACAAAGGAATGTAAACATCACCAATAATAAGCGTTCCAGGTATGAATGATTTTCAGTGTCTCATTTTCTGTAGTGCTAGATATCTGGGGACTGAAGGGAAATTTAATTAAAGGGGCAGAATTCTTACGGAGAACAACTACATTTCTGAAGTTAACTATTGATTCTTTTGCAAAACCAAAAGATGTCAGAAGGAAGAGGGAGCCAGCTTGTTTTCTGTTGCTCCTAGAGACTAGGACTCGGAGCAATGGGTTCAAATTACAGGAAAAGAGATTATATCTAACATTAGGAAGAACCTCCTGACCATATGAGCTGTTCAGCAGTGGAACCCTGTCTTGGAGTGTGGTGGAGGCTCCCTCTTTGGAGGTTTCAAAACAGGCTGGATGGCCATCTGTAGGGGGTACTTTGATTGTGCTTTTCCTGCATGGCAAGGAGTTGGACTGGATGGCCCCGGTCGTCTCTTCCTATGATTCTATCATCTGGAAGGGGTGGAGCCCCCGGTGGCACAGTGGGTTAAACCCCTGTGCCGGCAGGTTCGAATTCAGGGAGAGGTGGATGAGCTCCCTCTATCAGCTCCAGCTCCTCATGCGGGGACATGAGAGAAGCCTCCCACAAGGATGATAAAACATCTAATCATCCAGGCGTCCCCTAGGCAACGTCCTTGCAGACGGCCAATTCTCTCACACCAGGAGTCACTCCAGACACGTCAAAAAAAAATTAAAAATCTGGAAGTGCATTTTTATAAACAGTGAAAATTGTACAACCAACCAAAATGAACACCACTGTTTACTGGAAGAGCTCTCCTCTGAAATCTGTGATTCTTTCCCAATAATGGTGTGCAGCACAGGCATTCACTCAGCATTATTTTAACTGGGAAGCCTGCATGGAAGCATATTCTGTCAGGAAGACAAGCAAGCTGACCAGCCAAAGTATATTCAGGAATTAAGTGCAATAGCAAAGCTGAAAGGAGGAAAGGTTGTACAATACCATATTCTCGGTCCTCCCAGCTTTACATGCTGCTGCTCTATCTATTTCTCAGTAATAACAACACCACAGTCATCCCACAGCAATTGTAATACTTTTATTTACTTTTTCAGCTTTTATTTTGGTTTCAAGGTGAATTGAACAGAACTATGACAAATTGCAGTGAATTTCATATATGGAGGTGGAAACTAGCAACATTTCACCCCCCAATTGTGAAAATGTTTGTCTGGAATTACTGCAAAATGCTTCTGCTTAAATATTCTATCAATGTTTGGAATAATAATGTGAAAAGGTACTGAGAAAACCTGACAACTTTTAAAAATAGTTTACTTTTGCTTTTGATAAAGTCATCTTAGAATCTTCAAATAAAGCATCATTTCCAATAAGTTTTAGCACAAGCAGATTCTCTTCTTCCACTTTTTTCAGTGGCAAAAATGTTTGAAGATGCGTTTTGTTTTGCTTTCTTTGCTTTAAGAGAGGCTGGGAAGGTTTTGATTTGAGTAATCCAAATACTGGGTATTGACAGCAGTTGTGTCTGGACTAAAGGATTACAAAGCAATTGATCTTGCAGTCCTTTCAGTAAGGCTGCATGCAAGAGAGTATTACCTTGAAAATTCAATTAATGTTTCTTTTTTTGACTTTGCCAAATGCTTCAACTGATGTGATTACAGCAACCTTGTAGCTGACCAACAATCCATTTGATAGAAGTGAACAACAAAGTATCCTTTGAACCATTGTAGTTAGTTGGATCGACAACTCAAGTCATACTAAATTACAAATATAAATGGACAGATGGCCTGGAATTCTTGTTGTGGTACTGGATTTTAGACAGGTCATTATTAACCCGGTGGATGAGTAAACTGCTCAACCGCATCGTGGAACTTCCAGCTTTAGATCAACATGGGAGTTTGAATTCTAGTATCCACAATTGAATTGCACCACCATGGGAGGGGATTCTACCTCTCAATAACATTTCTGGACAAAACAAGGGAGTGAAATAGCACCAGGAAGAAAGAGTTAAATTTAGTGCTCTTGTCAACAAGAGTACATTATGACTCAGCAGCTGCTAAGACAGTCTGTCTACTGGGCTACAAATCAAGATACTGCTTTTGCCCAGTACAGACTTTGAATGTCTAAATTTCATCTACCCAGGAGATGTATTCCATTAAAAAGCACATCCCTATCTGCAACAAGCATATTAAATGTGACATTTGCCTCTTACAAGAATGCTGCCTCTATTTGGCAGATGGCAAGTATCAAAAGGACCACAACGGATGTAAAAATCAACTTTCCCCAAGATGGAGTATAAGTTATACACATTTTCAGCCTTTTGGATGAGAATTACCATTTTAAAAATGTAAATGAAAACAGTCTGGAAACTGCAGCTCTCACACACATAGCTATGTTTCAGCACTGAGGGTTAGTTGAGCACTGTGAGCAGATGTTGCTGCTATTATTATTGTTAACATTAATCTGGAATTACTAGTATTTAAGTAATTTGCAGAATGCAAGAATGAATTAGCCCCTGTCCATGGGCATAGCATTCTATACTTGATGCATTAAGGGGGGGACGGGGCTTGGTAATACTCTTCTTTAAACCAGATATGGATTTATATCAAAAAGTCTGGCATAAGGTAAATATCCTCTCTGATCTTCAGCTTTGTTACACATCTTAGAATAACAATCTGCTCACCTATGGCATATTTTTTTCTCTTAAAGGGGAGGGAGGGTTCTGAAAAATTAACAACTTTTTAATTCATACTGCATGTCATTTCAAGGAAAAGTAATGTTACCAAGTTGATCATACAATCACTGGCGTATTTACATTTGTATACTATGGAATGTCCTTTGACAAGGCTGGCCAAAGAACTCGGTTTTAATGCACAAAATGATTCTTGCAGTCTAAGGAACCTCTGGCCCACAGAAGTGTGAATATGTCAAATGGTACAGAGTGGATTCTACAGCACACATAGCAATACTAGAAATCTAATTCAGAATTTCAAATCATTGTCAAAAGCATAGCCATTGCTTACTGGCCGGTAGCCAGTTTATGAGAGATACTGAAACATTTCCATTCTCCACTTTGCTGTTATAATCCATGTTGTTTCAAAACATTTGTTAGTCAATGGTTCAATATAAAAGCAACACAAGAATCAAACTACACAAACAGCCATAAGAGCTCCAGACCCTTAGAGGACTTTAGATTTAAATGGTGACACTGAATATGAGTGGTATACATACTCATTGTGGCCTGGTGATAAGAAAGAGGAGGAAAGTGGGAAGGTATGAAGGAGGGTTCTCTTTTAGTTTCTGAGAAAGAGTTCTCTTCTTTAGATCCACTTTGACCATTCTTAGTCACTGTTGCCAGCGTTGGCTGAATCTGGAAATATGGAATAAAAAAGTACTTAGAAACATTTCTCCATAAACTGGCAGAAATCTAAAATATATGCAATATACTGTCATTGCAAAGATAAGGAAAGCCTGTTGCGCTAAGCGTATTTCAGTCAAGTCCAGTGCAGAAGACACAATAACATTGCACCCAGGCAAGTGGAAAAAAACAGAAAAACTTTTATCAGAGTTAAAACATAAACTTGCAATGTTACAAACAGTGCAACAAACTTACAAAGTATTTGTAAGCAATACAGAATAAGGCTTCTTCGTCTTCATCCAAATGAAAGGGCAGTAGAAATGGTTGAGCAAAATGCCCGCGAAAAGGTTCCTCAGAGCAAAAGCTGAACTGTATTCTAAAAACCAAACAATTCTACCCCACCGGGTATGGTCCAAACTTACTAGGTGACCTACATTAGCAGCTGCACATAATAATTAACAGCATAAGGTTTTCTTTCGCACGCACACACTTGATCCTATTACAACTTACTTTTACAAAGCCAGTATAAATGCAAATTTAATTACTTATTCTCATAAGCCAGTTATGGCACATTGAATAAAATCAATGTGCCAGAGAAGCCAACATGTTAAATATTCAAATTTTGTAAAAACCTATTTGTCACAAACAAAGAATATTTCAATTAAAAGGAAGTAGATATGCATTTGGAAAATTAAAACTGCTGTGGCGGTTTAAATTTGAGAGATTTTATTATTTATTTATTTAAAACTTTTATATCCCGATCTTCTCTACCTTGGCAGAGGGACTCAGACTGGCTAACAGCAAAAATTCAATGCTAAAACTGAAAATCTAAAACATAATACACAACATTAAGTTAGCAATTACATCACATAAATTACATAAAATTACATAAAAGCCGTTCGCCAGGATAAAATCGTGTCCAACATAGTCCGTATGTCCAGTCCATATATTGTGATCAGTAACATTAGTCGATTGCCGGTCTCAGACATCATTCCGCAAAAGCTTTGTTGCACAGCCCAGGTTTTCACTAGCTTCCTAAAGGCCAGGAGGGAGGGTGCAGATCTAATTTCATTTGGGAAGGAATTGCATAGCCGAGGGGCCACCACAGAAAAGACCCTGTCTCTCGTCCCCACCAGACGCATCTGCGAAGATGGCGGGACCGAGAGCAGGGCCTCTCCAGACGAGATGGACTTTAAAGAAGTCTATTGGCATTATGCCTTTACAAGAATTATAACTGCATCTCAGAAGATAGACGCTAGACATTAGAAAGGACTTCCTAACAATGAAGGTGATGGATAACTGATGTTGTGGTGTATTGCTTTTTGTGATGTTTGTGATGAGAATGTATGGTAAAGTGGGCTTGATCTATGAATCAGTAATAGAGAGCTAATCAGAATATTTCCAGAAAAATAGGTTGTGGAATCCATGGCCATGATTGGAAAATAAAAGTGTGTAGTGTGAGGGATAAAATGGAGTATAGTTGAAAACCTAAAGAATGATACAAGTCATCTACTAGGGATGCATTTTGGGGAACATAGATCCTTTCCCATGGTATTTTGCTATGATTCTGTAAGAGGAAATGTTCTTGCACAGCTTCAGATCTCGATAATGTCAGCTTACACAGCAATATCTTAAGAAGATAATGCAACAGAAACATATATTGTCCCGTGATTATATGGATCCATCAAAACTCGGGTCAAAAGAGTGCACAGAACTAACTTCATACTAGTCTCACGGTCTACTGTAAATGCATTACAGGTTTGAAAAGTGACATAAAAAAAGATGTCCTTTTGCATTTCTCTTCAGTACTGATCAGCCACATCATTTGTGCAATTAGAAGTCAAATGGAAGAATGACATCTCCAGGCAAATTTAAGCTTTGGCTCTGTTTGTTAAAAAATAATGAGTTGTTTTTTGTTGTGTGTCTTCAGGTTGTTTCAGAGTTATGGTGACCCCAAAGTGAACCTATCATGAGGTTTTACTAGGCAAGATTTATTCAGAGGGAAGGTTGCCTTTGCCTTCTGATGACAGAATGTGACTTGACCTAGGTCACTCAGTGGGCTTCCATGACCCAACAGGCATTCTAACCCTGCTCCAATATTCAAACCACTATGCTACAATGGCTCTTTAATCATTGGGACTTTGTGACGGACTAGTCTAGTCTTCCTATGTTCACGTGAAAGCACTGTCTGCAAGCACAAATGCCTCCACTTGTTACTTACAATGAAAGCTGTAGAGCAGTGGTTCTCAACCTGTGGGTCCCCAAATGTTTCGGCCTTCAACTCCCAGAAATTCCAACAGCTGGTGAACTGAGTGGGATTTCTGGGAGCTGTAGGCTAAAACACCTGGGGACCCACAGGTTGAGAACCACTGCTGTAGAGTTCTCTGCCTTATCAGGAAATTGAGTGTCCCATACACTTTTTTGCAAAGGAAATGTAGGGCTGAAAGTAATCTAATAGTTCATAGCTGTGCAGAAACAGTTGTTAAGATGGTGGGGGTCGAAATATATTCCCATGCTCAGGAATGCAATTTATCACTACAGCAATATCCCCACCTCTCCACCAAAGCCAACATCGAAATACAACACAGCCTGAGCTCTGCGAGTGCAGCATTTTTCCAAATGAAGCAGAGAGTGTTTGAGGACCAGGACATCCATAGGGATACCAAGGTGCTTGTTTATAAAGCTATTGTCCTCCCAACCCTGCTATACGCCTGCGAGACGTGGACTGTCTATAGATGTCACATGCAACTCCTGGAACTATTCCATCAGTGCTGCCTCCGGAAAATCCTGCAAATCTCTTTGGAAGATAGACGGACAAACGTCAGCGTGCTGGAAGAAGCAAAGACCACCAGCATTGAAGTGATGGTCCTCCGCCATCAGCTCTGCTGGACCGGCCACRTTGTCTGGATGCCCGACCACCRTCTCCCAAAGCAGTTGCTCTACTCTGAACTCAAGAAYGGTGGACAGGAAAAGAGATTTAAAGATGGGCTCAAAGTCAATCTTAAAAACTCTAGCATAGACACTGAGAACTGGGAAGCCCTGGCCCTTGAGCGCTCCAGCTGGAGGTCAGTTGTGACCAGCAGTGCTGCAGAATTTGAAGAGGCACGAATGGAGGGCGAAAGAGAGAAACGTGCCAAGAGGAAGGCGTGACAAGCCAATCCCAACCGAGACCGCCTTCCACCTGGAAACTAATGCCCACACTGCAGGAGAAGATGCAGATCAAGAATAGGGCTCCACAGTCACCTGCGGACCCATCCGAATACTGATCCTGGAAGATTATCCTACTCAGCCAATGAGGGATCGCCTACGTAAGTAAGTATCCCCATAACTGCAGGAGATGCCCCCCCCCCCAATTGATACCTGAAACCAGGTATCTGAATCCTATATTTAGATCATTCTTGGTGCAGAAGCATACCATAGAAGAGGACAACCCAGAGAGGATCACAAACACTTTAAGGGTTAGGGGGATATTCTTTTCACTTTGTCACAAAATTTGCTGTCTTTTATTAACTGTAATAAAGTCGACCTACGATGACTCTAAGAATGAGAGATTTCCAAGTCATCCAGTCATCAACTGCACTGCTCTGGTTTCACAGATTCGGGGACATACCATCCTTAATTGCTTTTGTTCAAATTAAAGCCTGCCATAGCATGCCCTCAACACTTAAGATCAATTCCTATTAATCTAAAAGCCATGGTTTGGAGCATAGCCAATACTGATAAATACCTACATGAGTACTGCAGTAGTCTAGTGGCCTACTGTGTTAAATTTTATTCTGCCCATAAACTGTGAAGGATAGCCATGTTAACCTATTTCTGCAAAAATAACTGCCTTTTGTTTATATAATATCCTGCTTTTTTCTCAGCAGTAGATTCAAGGTGGCTCTCAACAGGATGCATACAATAAAAACACAAGTTTATCATATTAAAACAGAAATACAATCAACGTTAAAAGCAAACAGAAGAAAAAGGGCATATTGTGTCCATTAAAAGCTCTCTCTTCAGCAGTCATAGTTATCAGAATCCTGCTTCAATATTGAGTGTTTTTCCTTCTAGCAGTAAGTAAGTGTGTATCAGATTTTAATGAAGTATGTTCATTTCCCAACCTTTCACAGCAGGGAAGCGGAGGCAGGTTAGCCTTCTTTGGAAGTGAATTCTGCAATCTGGGAGTAGAACGTTTTGTGGATGAGAGCCCATGTAGACTACACCCATGTATACAGGGTCAGAGATGTCAATAAACAGCGAGTTTTCCTCTCCTTCACATTCCTTTTAGTGAGCAGCAGAGGGAGATGTCGTTACTGGCACCAAGAGAAATAGCTGAAGCAACTTCAATGTTGCACACTTGAAGATGACAGGCTCCATATTTGTTCCTATTGAATATAACCGCTACAGCTTTCCTTGCAATTCCAGTTAAACCCAACCGTTTTTGATATTTTGATAAGTTTGAGCTCTTTTTCTTGGAAATGAAAGGTTAGGAAATGAACATACTTCATTAAAATCTGATACACACTTACTTACTTAGGCGATCCCTTGTTGTCCGAGTAGGATAATCTTCCAGGGTCAGTGTACTGGTGATGAGCCCTATTCTTGATCTGCATCTTCTCCCGCAATGAGGGCATTGGTTTCCAGGTGGAAGGCGGTCCGGTCAGGGTTGGCTTGATGTGCCTTCCTCTTGGCACGTTTCTCTCTTTCGCCCTCCATTCGTGCCTCTTCAAATTCTGCAGCACTGCTGGTCACAGCTGACCTCCAGCTGGAGCACCTAAGGGCCAGGGCTTCCCAGTTCTCAGTGTCTATGCCAGAGTTTTTAAGGTTGGCTTTGAGCCCATCTTTAAATCTCTTTTCTTGCCCACCAATATTCCATTTTCCATTCTTGAGTTCGGAGTAGAGCAACTGCTTTGGGAGACGGTGGTCAGGCATCCGGACAAGGTAGCCAGTCCAGCGGAGTTGATGGCGGAGGACCATCGCTTTAATGCTGGTGGTCTTTGCTTCTTCCAGCACGCTGACATTTGTCC